TATAGAGATGATTGAAGTCATTCTGGTCTCTGATCGGCTCTATAGTCAGCCAGCTTATCTGCTGGCTGCATTCTCAGATTCCCCTGTGAGACAGGAGAGCTAAAAAAAAAAAAAAAAAAAAAAACAACTATGGAAGGCGGCGGGGGGGGGGGGGGGGGTGTCCCTTCCCACTGCTTGTAAAAACAATTCAGCAGCCAATTGGCCACTAAGATTGCTTTTAAATGAAAGCCAACTGCCAGCTGAAAAAACAATATCAGGCTGATATCTCGGTATAACCACCAAAGTCCATCAACGTAGCAGTAAATTGCTGCTCCATGTTGGGCATATATGTAATAGCAGAGAACACGGGCATATGATGAATCTGCTCTGTGGACCAATATGAAGGCAATTCTTTTTTGTAATGCCCAGATTGAATGCAAGTCCCAAAAAAAGTTTATGTTCAGAAACCGTGATAGGTTTCCATGCAAATTGTCTGGCAAGAGCTGAATTGGGTGGGAGGTGATGTATTGTTGTGCATATAAATTGCCTTGGCCCACAATCAATTGGTACAAATCTTCCGTGAAAAACAGCGGAGGGGCTAAACACTAATGTTAGCATAGAATAGGGCTGATCCAGCTAACACTTCATTTTTGGGGACACTGTACAAAGGAAGCACTAGTATACTTCTGTTCATGATCAATATATTGATCTGTACAAACACTATACTAGTAATAGCGGTGATCAGTGACCTACAGTGTGCATGCAATAGTGTGCGGGAAATCTAATGCTAGCTCACCCTGGCTGGGAGGGGCACTAACTGACGCTATCTGATGTTGCTAGTGGCAGTAATACAGTGATCAGTGCAAAATTCTATATACTGACACTGTACTAATGGCACTGGCTGGGTGATGGGGCGATCAGAGAGTTAAATGTGCTAATCGAACATGTGTGTGTAAAATTTAGTGCAGTGGGGATGCAGGCGCGTTCACACCCCAAAATAGGAAGCGACGCAAGATTACGTCACTTTGCCAAGAGCTGCTGCTTGCCTGAAAAATGCGGGTATGCAGGTTGGCATGTAGTTAAAAAATGTTTTTAAAAAAATTGAGAATTTTTTTTTTTTAATACTTTTATCAGAATAGTACAATGTTACCACAGTAACCTCCAGCAAACATGTCCATTGGATTGCCAGCCAGAGAAGTGCGATTCGTCACTCCAGAGAACACATCTCCACTGCTCTAGAGTCCAGTGGTGGCATGCTTTACACCACTGCATTCGACGCTATACATTGGACTTGGGGATGTAAGGCTTGGATGCAGCTGCTCGGCCATGGAAACCCATTCCATGAAGCTCTCTATGCACTGTTGCTCTAATCTGAAGGCCACGTGAAGTTTGGAGGTCTTTAGATATTGACTCTGCAAACAGTTGACTTTTTTTTCTTCCAATTGTATTTTTTTTTTAACTTTTAGGTGGGGGGGCTCCTGATTAAAGCAGAGTTCCACCCAAAAAGGGAAGTTCCGCTTTAAGCCTTTGTCCCCCGCTCCCATTAAGGATTGGCACCTTTGGGGGGAGGGGGTACTTGAATTTAACAGGTACCCGCTCCCACTTCCCCTGTGATCACCTAGGGCAGGGCTTAAAATTTCAAGTCCTGAGCTACTAGCCAGACCTTAAGAGTTACTTATCACCAACAAACACACAGAAACATGTACACACACGCCCACAGACACGTGTGTGTGTGTGTGTGTGTGTGTGTGTGTGTGTATGAATATATATACACACATATATATATACACACACACACACATACATACATATACACACACACACAGAAAAAGGCACGTACAGACACTCATACATGTACATACACCAGAAATACACACACAGACATACATACGTACACACAAATACACAAACATGTACATACACAGACACACACAAAGATGTACACGCAGGCACGCTGTTAAGTGCTCTCTCCTCTCCCCTGAAACCGCAGCCCTATAAAAAGTTGCAGTACTTAGTTGATAGAGCTAGGTACTGCACTCTAGGGGGAGGCAGAGAGCACAGCACACACTCCTTCCTTTGCTTTCACTGCGCTCAGCTATTGAGCAGTCTGACGGCTCCCAGTGCCAATGAAAGATCCAGCCTGAGCTCCGAGACTGCTCAGCAAGACGGCCCTGGAGGACACACTCTCCCCCACCATAATTTCCACTCGCCATTGGCGAGCGGAAATTGCAAGGCCTGGCATAGGGGATCGGAAGCGGACGTTATCCTCACCCCCTCCCTCCCCGTAGTCTTCTAGGACATGTGACAGGTTCCAGAAGACTATGGGGCCCATTTACAAAGCAAAGCACTTCTCATGCATGCACAGTGGGCACCCAGCTGTGAAGCCACAGGCTGTCACAGCCGGGTACCCACACTGAAGATGCCAGCACCAGGGAGAGAAAAACAGCCGGTGAAACCAGCAGTGCTGAGGACAAGTAAGTGTCTGTATTTTAAGAGTCAGCAGCTACAGTTCTTGTAGCGGTTGACTTTTTTTTCAGGTGGAACTCAGTTTTAAACTCAATCTAACCTAAAACCTTTCCCTGCCTAAAATCTTCCTACACAGGCTGCCTTTGCACAATGACCCCATACAGACTGCAATGTGGCTGTACTCCCAGCGCCTATTCTTTGGAAATACCGTTTCATTCAAGGTCTATAAAGAAGTTACTGCATAGCTGAAGCCAGAGCTAATGATTTTGATACCATGACTGTAAAGACTGGAGAAGGTGGTGGCTGCCACCTGGGTGGGAAGGGTTCTAGCTTTGATTAGCATTTTATATGATCTCTTATACTTTCATACTGACCAGAATTTTCACAGGTCTTCTGAACAGGATTACAACCTCTCGCTGCTCTTCTGTTTTCTGCATCTTCGGTCTTTGAAAAGCATACATCTCTGTACAGGCTCTAGAACACCAAGTCTTGGTGTTTTCGGGTTTGGACCCTTGCCAAGCTCCCTGAAAACACTGGGGGTTGATTTACTGAAGTGGCGAAGCATGTTCACTTTGCAAAGTTATTTTCATTTAGCCTAGCAAATGTGGTGAATATTCACTTTGCAAAAAGCCTTTTTTGCTTGCTAATATTTGAAAGATTGAAATCAGAAGAGCTTTACCCTCATTCAGTAAAACTACAAGGGAAAATTCCCTTGCAAAGTGGAAATGTATTTTGCAAAGACTGTTGATTGTACAGAGCCCTGTGCAATTACACCTGAGTAACAGAGGGAACGATCTCTTTGGAACAAAGATTTTTTTTTTTTTTTTTTAGTAAAAAGCAGCACATACACACATTAACACTTCTTGGGCACACCGTTACCCCTTGATTACCTGAGAGGTTAACCCATTACCCAGCCAGTGTCAATAGTACAGTGACAATGTATAGTATTATCACTATTAGTGTCACTGGTGATGTCAGTGTCAGTCAGATTGCACCCCGAACTCACAGTTCCACTAGAAAAGTTGCTGATCACTGCAGTAAAAGTAAAATTATATATATATATATATATATATATATATATATATATATATATATATCTCTATCTCTATCTATCTATATCTACACACACACCATAGTCTGTAGACACTATAACCTTCACACAAACCAATCAATATACAGTTACTGGGAATTTTTTTTTTGTTACCGACATGTAACAGAATACATTTTAGCTTAAATTTATGAAGACGTGATTTTTTTAATTTTTTGGGATATGGCAGAAAGTAAAAAATATTGTTTTCTGAATTTTCACTCTTTCGTTTATATTATAAAAAATAAGAACAGTGGTGATCAAATACCATAAAACGAAAGCTCTAATTGTGTGAAAAAAAATTATATATATTTTGTTTAGGCACAGCGTTGCATGGATGCCAAATTACCAGTTAAAGTAGCACAGTGCTAAATAGCAAAAAACGGCCTGGTCATGAAGGGGGTCAAGTGGTTAAACAAGTACAGCCTTGCAATAAGACAACATTCCCCTGGTCAAACAATTACATTTTTGAAGGGTGTTGTAGGCTGCAGACTGCCACACATACTGAAACGTGGTTGTAAACCTCAGACATGAAATATGAACAAAACACATCCCTCTATAGTGTGTACCTGTCTCAATTAAGAGCACTAAGTGTCATCTTTATCTGCTTTGTTCCTCTGCTATAAATCAATTCTGACAAGTTTTTCTGACACCAAGAGAAAAATGGTGACATGGGAGGGAGCTTTAGCAGACTGAGATCCTCAGCTGCGAGCTGTGTGGCAGGTGCTAGTCTCTTCCCTCCAATCAGCTCTCAGAACTCTCATTACTGAGCTCTGCAGTGTATAATTTCAGCTCTCTACCCCCCTTTTTTCTGCACTCTCAGACAAGCGTTAAATGCAGCATTTTTAACGGATGTAGAGGAGAGAAGACTGCAGATCGACAGGTACAACGTATGCAGGAGGATCCGTTTCATCTCTGTATCATCTGAGGCCAGTCACTTCACTGGGTATATAGAAAGGTTTACAACCACTTGAATACATATTCATAACTCCACAAAATGAAACCAGAAATATGCTACAAACACAAAAATGAGCATTTCACAAGGAATATACCTTTAATATTATAATCACAAAATCATATCTGTACAGGAATGTGTAAGTGAACATTTATAAATGCAACAATAATTTGCTTCATAAAGATAAGGTAAATTTAATTTGAGAGAATTGATTTTTCAAAGAAAATACTTCAAAGTAAAACTTTCTTGCCTTCATCTGCACTTGTTAAATGCAAAATAGTAAGACACATTAGTGTTCAATTCAGCAAAATATTGCAGATCATCATGCTACAGTCCATTGGAATGGGTCAGGACATGCAGCACTCTTATTAAAACGCAATAGTATATAAAAAGAAGCCACATGTTAATAAAATATAGAGTGGTTTATCTTGATATTTTCTTTGATTTAAACATGATTTTATTGTGGAATGCGATGAATATGAATTGATGAACTGAGCGTGGAATATTCTTCATCTAAGCTATAGCTTTGGCTTCAGGTAGAAAGGCTTCCCAATACTTTATGAGCTAAGGGGAAAAGAAAGAAAGTTACATCTTTAAATGAAATCACCATGTCAAAGTGTTTTTTCCATAAAGCATAGCAGGCTATTTAATAAAATATCTGCCACTTTATTTCAAGAATAACCCGTCACTTCTGACCTGTTCTATTATTCATTGGTCTGATTAAAGTTACAAAGTTTCTAGTTTCATGTCCAAACCACCTGCCTAACTCCTGGATGAGAGACTCGCATACAATGTATATTTTAAGAGAACTCTCCTATATCCCTTTACCACTCCTCCTAAATCAAGTGATGTAAATGAGCTAGAACAGCAGTTACAAAGACTTACATAGATGGGAGATCCTAGATTATACACTACAAGCCTAAATCCTGCTGGACGTATTTACAGCGGCTGTGTTTGGCTTTTTTCTTCAGCCAGTAAACTCCCCAGCATGTTATCCTATATGTCCATGCACACAGACTGTAATCAGCGTATTTTGGAAGGGGTATTTTTTGGCTGAAAAAAAAAAAAAAAAAAAAAAAAAAAAACCCAGAACTAGTGGGTTTCTATGAGTTTTTTAGCTGTAAAAATGCTCTAACGCTGAAAAACATGGCAAATCAAGGTAAATCGCGGCAAACTGGCGTTTTTGGACTTTTTTTGAGCAAAAAAAAAAAACCCGCAAATGTGAAAAAACGTGGCTAAACACTAATGCAAAAAAACTCACGTTTTTAACATGACTTTACACAGCTAACATTACCAAATTCCATTGTGCATGGAGCCTAACTCTGTTAAGTGGACAAAAAAATAAAGTTAATGCATGTAGTGCAAGCGCCATGTTGAGTACCTTCAGCTCTCTCTTCAAGGGTGGTTAAAGATCCTAAGGCTGGCCATACATTATACAATTTTCTTGAGATTTTTGCTTTAGATTTACCAAAAAACCATATAATAGGAGGTCAAACCTAAACAACACTTTCAATTGTATCCAATTAGACAGGCCCTTGCACTACATAGTTGAAGGTAAATCTAAAGAAAATTGGGCAGAAAATTGTATAGTGTATGGCAAGCCTTTGAATCTGCAAAATTCCAATAGTCTTGGCAAATACTGGCACAGCCCTCCTGAATTTCCTATTGACTAGTAAGGCAGCCCATCATGGTGATGGGCCAATAGGAAGGTGCAGAAGGCAGGCTACCTTTCAATGTAACCAGAAGTGTCAGTTCTGGTAATTAGAATGATGCTGGTTTACAGAATCCCTGAATACATTTCAGTACGACTTAAGAGGAATTTTACCTTTATGTTTAAGAAAACATTTTTAAAAAGTCAGCAGCCACCAATATTGTAGCTGCTGACTTTTAAAAATTAGGTACTTAGCTCCTGGAATCCAGCGCTGGCTTTACACAGCCGATTCTTGTGACATATGTGGGTCCCTGGCACTGTCATCATCTTGGAAGCTGCAGGGAGGGGGTTGGGAAGGTCGACTTTAAGTTGCATGTAGGCATTTGTAGGATTCCTTCATTATACACATGTATTTACTACTTTTTTTGTTGTCACTGAAAATTTCAGTTATACAAAAGCCTTTCTACATGAAAAAGGAAAAGCAGTGTGTAGCTAGCTGCAAGCCAAGATTTCTTTCACAGCTAGAGAAGCAAGGAAATGTCATGTGAAGTTTTCCTGATGTCATTACACATTCTGTTCAAGGAAGTAACTTGTTCTTCCAAGGACACTTACTTGTATCTAATTTTTCTACATGTCTTGGGATCATAAACAAAATAAAAATGTATAATTTGCTAACCATATTTACAAAAAACTGACAAAACAAGATAAGGCTCTGTTGAATGCAACCTGTTATTTGGCATTAACAATTGTTATTGTTAGGAAGAGGATTTAGGAGAGCCCAGTGACTTGAGGCCATATGCTAGGCAATTTTATAATGCTGGCCACATTTTGTTGATTTTGAAGCTTCCCATCCACTTTCAGCCAGTTACCTGTACCTCACATTTACTATGGTTTCCTAGTTTCAAGTGATTTTAATAAGAAATGCCTTTTGACTGGTTCTCCACTGGTAATCCACTTCCACTACCTTACTGCTCATCTGTTGACTTGAAAATGGGAATCAACTATATTGTAGGTGGCAATAAAAGCCAAGTAAACTGATGGTAACGGTATGGCCACTAAATACTTAAAGATTAAAAACCCCTTTCTTTATCATCCTCATACCAATGCTGCCCGTTTATACAATAGTGCTCTATAAATTACGTTTAATATTTTTGTTTAAATCAGCTTCAGTGTGATCTGTAAGCTGTGGCTCTCCCCTGTGTCAGCATCCACTGCACTGGATATAGGGGAGCAGGAGCTAACAGATCATGTGAGCACACTAAAATCTCCTGTGACGAGGGAGTGGGCATGGTGTACTGGCACCGAGTGTGTCTATGGACTCACACAGCCTGGCTCAAGAGCACACATGCATGGGTTCTTCCTTAACATACATCTTGCTAAAGTGGCAGCTGGAAGAGGGAGAAGGTGACATCGCCAGCAGGGGACTGACAGATGAGGTGGTAAGGTACCTCACAGAGCAGGTGAGTATAAACTATTTTTTTCTTGGTTAAATAAAACGGCATTTAGTATCACTGTGATTTCCACTTTAAAAAAAAGGAGTTGTGGAAATTCAGCCTTAAAGTAAAATCGGCTCATCCATGTCATTTGGTGTAAACCCAGTGACATCACTGTGGTAAAAAGCTTTCCCACCCCTCCCCACTGTGATGACATGGACTTCTAGCTTATCCCACAACACACAAGAGGCTTTTCTTCATTGTTTATGGATAAACTTCGGTGCCTTACAGTACACACAAAGGCAGAAAACCACCAGCATTAACCTGAATATTTGTGTTTCCAATTTACCTGTTGCTGTGTTTGTACTAAAGATTCTAAATACTTGATAATAACTGTTTTGAAGTCTTTCACTCGATCTTTCTGCAAAAGAAAAACAAACAAAAAAAACAGGATTTTTTTTCTTTTAGAGTTGAATGAAAACAGACAAGTGTACAGGTATTTAAAAAGTTATGCTGAAGCATGAAATAATCCAATTTCCCATCTTTAACATGCAAGAAAACCCTCTCACTGTAGGCTGAGATTGCCACACAAATCAGAACACATTATGGTTCCATCATTTCTAGCAATTTTAAAGGTTAATTCACAGTTACCAGAAAAACTGCCTATGAAGATAAGGGGTGCCTGTAAAATAAATAAATTGCGCAGGTCTGGCCAAAGTTGAATAATACCCTTGGCATAGGTGTAGGCAAATTTATACCTCATGAAGCCTGGGTAAAAGTAAGCTAGAATGTTGCTAGGACATTGATCAGACAGGCCCATCTATTACTGTTCACCATCACAGGAGTGAGCTCTCTCTTTGTCTCAGACCCCCTCGCATGCGCTTTCATTCCCCTGATTTAATAGTTCTGGGCTCAGAGTCAGAGCTCACTCCTGCTATAGTAGAGGTGAGCAGTAATAGCTGGGCCTGTCCTAGCAACATCTTGGGAGTCTTCAGGTGAGGCTTCATGCGGTAGCTAAATGGCCTCCAACTATACAAAGGTTATTGTTCAAAATTTAATCAAAGCTGCACAGTTTTTACCTACAGATGCCCCTTATCTGCATAGGCTTTTTTTTTTTTGGAAAAGGTGAACTAACCCTTTAAATCAGTGGTTCTCAAGCTTCCTAATGCCGCAACCCTTTAATACAGTTCCTCATGTTGTGGTGACCCCCAACCATAAAATTGTTTACCCAGTAATTATAATTCATGAAGTGTCGTTTTACCTTCAATACTGCTGCTTTCAACACAGTAGCTGCTTTCAACACAGTAGCTGCTCTTTACACATCAGAAATGTGTTTTCTGATGGTCTTAGGCGACCCCTGTGAAAGGGTCGTTCGACCCCCAGGTTGAGAACCACTGCTTTAAATGATAGTACAATCTAGGTTTCAAATATTGTGCAATTGTGACATGGAATGGACGAATATGCCCTTGTCACCCAAGTTATTTCTCCAAGGCTTACTGAATATAGTTTCTTTGGATTTTTCTTGTTTAATATAGGTGTGTGTGCACTATATACACTTTTGTGTTTATCAGGCACTCACTATTTGTATCAAATATGGGTATGTGTTTTTTTTTAAGTGGGTGATAGATTTTAGTTTGGCACTAATTATATCTGTTTTTCATTATTATTTATGAAGGATTACAATATATTTATTTATTTTAGGATTCTATATTGTGTATTTGGCACATATTTCTTTATATGATAAGAGCGCTACACTATTTTTTATGACCCCCAGGTTGAGAACCACTGCTTCAAATGATAGTACAATCTAGGTTTCAAATATTGTGCAATTGTGACATGGAATGGACGAATATGCCCTTGTCACACAAGTTATTTCTCCAAGGCTCGTGTCTATTACAATCCAGTCCAAAGAGCAGGAAATTTGTATCCAATTTTCCATTTAGCTACTCTGACAACGTAATGGCAGATATACATAAACTAACATAGCTCTGAGAAGTTTGTTTGAGCTGCAATTAATAGAGTATATGTATAGTATATTCAAGTATATGACTACCTTTAAGTGTATCTCTCTGTTAAGTGTACTTTTTCATGCATTGAAAACTTATTCATCTGCAGATATTCATGAAACAATCCATATTAATAAAAACAATTAATGTCTTAAAGTATAACTAAATGCAAAATGTTTTTGTTCATTTTTGAATACAGTGGAGAGGGATTAGAACACCTGTCAGTTTTTATTGCTGTATGTGCCCCCCCCCTTAAGGAGACTCATCCTATTTCTCCTGTTTACCATTATCATTGAAAGTGAAAGTAAAAGAATCCCAAATTTTGAGTTGTTCCCAGAACAGTAATAGAGGGGAAATCTTCCAATGGGGTCACTAGTTCTGGAGACCTGGGGTCCCCAAGGAATTCCCTTAATTTGCAGGGATTTCATCTCACTTCCTGTTTGGCTATAGGATGGAAAGTGAAGGGAAATCTCCCCAATAGGATACAGATGGCAGGGGAAAAAAAAAATATATCTAAAAACGGGGTTATAACCCTCTCTTGCTCTATCCAAAATGAAAAGGAAAAAATGTTGCCAATTCTACATTTTTTGACCAATTTACTGGCAGTCACAAAAATGCCATCTCTTCTTCCTGCCTAAGCTTCGAGGAATAGTAGCAAAGACTGGCTTAGGACTAATATTCTTATCTGCTGATCTCTACAACAGTGGAAGTTACTCCTGCCAGGAGCCACTGTCAATCAGACTCTGCAGGGCTGGGGAGGGGTTTTGTCAGTCCGATGTATCACTGGTTGACTACAGGATTCCAGGCACATGCTGTGCGTCAATGTTGTGCCCTGTAGGTCCCAAGGCAAGGAGAGAATGTTACATGAATATGCTACTGTGGTTAATGTGGTCAGCAAAGTTCAGGAAGCCAGGAATAGTGGAGGGGACTGGCAGGATCACAAAGTGTTTATTCCAGGTATTAATACATACAATATAAATGCCTGCGTTGTATGAATTGTGAGGGATAGAGGGTGTGTTTACAAGTTTATGATTTTACATTTACATAAAATGTAAGGCTGTAATCAAGCACAAAAATCCTCTTATTGAACACTCATCTTAAAGCTAGCCATACACTAGTAGAAAAATCGAAAGGACATTCTTAAAATGCAGAATTTCAAAACAAAATTCTAATAGTTGGTGGGGTCAAACTGATGTTTTCTCCAACTGCAGAGATGAGAAAATGTGAAGGCGCAAGATGGAGAATTTTTCAAATTCCTAAAGGGAATGTTCACAGGAGGCTCGTAGGTGGGGGTAGGTAAAACCTTGTGGTTGAGCCATGCTTCTTCCACTCCCCCAACCCCTACCCCCTTTAGCTACAGAGGCAGCAGCCGAGTTGTACACAACAGCCATGATATTTTGTTGTAAGTGAACCGCAGCTCACTAGTGTGGGATTCAAGGGGTTAAAAAGCAGGCAGTAATTCAATGCCTTTGCACTGGCTGTTAAATGCTCTCTGGAGGAGCAAACCAAATGTGGATCGCTCTTCAGAGAGCAAAGTTCATGTTAATGTGACCTAACAGTGTATGTGGTTTTCGTTTGGGAAATTCCGTTCATTCAATAATCAAATGTTAAAAGGCACCCATCATCGAATGTACAGAGAATTTTCATACAAATGTTTGTACGAGTATTTGTAAGTGTTCGTTCAAAACCAGGGTGGATTTGATTTAAATCGCTAGTGAAAAGGCTCGATTTAAATCATAATTTTTAAAACAACTGTCATCTCTGTCCTGCAGCGGCTCCTCTTCTGACCCGTTGTTGACTCACCGACAGTCCCATTCACTTTAATGGGATGGCTGGTGATGTGGCAGTGACACAACAAGGTGAGGGATGTGGCTGCAGCAGGTGAGTGGATGCCCGCTAACAGGTGCTGCCTTGATGGATCTAATATGACAGGTGCTCTTTAAATGTAAGGAATCCGACTCATTCTTGCTGATGGTTAGAATCCTTAATATTTGCAAACCAAATGAAGGTTTCCTTTTCAGAATAAGCAGCGATCAGGTTAGTAAAACTGCGATATCAGAACCGATTTTTAGGTTAGTAGGTTAGTCACACATAGTTGGAGAACTATTCAAACTATTTTAGTTCATGTTTTTTCTCATGGTTACTGTGAAATTGTGTGAATGCATCAATGCAGTGCATGTTATCTCAACTTGCATTCATTGAATGAGTTTACCAAAAATGTAAATATTGCAGTATAGCCTCATGCTATATATCCAAGTTCCATTTCATGCTGAATAAACTAAATTATTAATGTATCTTTAGATAGATTTTTACTCCAAAAGCATTTTATTAAAATAAAATTTGATTAAAAATTGATTTTTATCCACCCTGTTTGAAACACAGCTTTACAGTTACAGTAATATCAACTAGTAATATTGATGCATCTATAAAATATGCACTTACCTCAAATCGGCCTACTTCCTTCCGAATAGTTTTAGAGATCTGCTCAAAATCCCGTTCACCTTGTTGAACTTTTGCTTCCCACTTAAAAAAAGAAAAGTTTAAAAAGAAACAACATTAGCAGCTGCTGCCTTTCCCTCTTTTTCTAGTGTTTTCACATGACTGCAGAGGACAATAACTGGTGATTATTTCTGAGTCTATGACACAAGATGGATTTCTTGACAATACGAATTTACATCATGACAGCAGACAAATTCTGGAACCACACTGCCTGTGATCTCTGGAATACTGCACACCCCTTGTTTATGATAAACAACTATTGACACTTCTCAGATATCATCTGATCCTTTCTTCAACTGGACATGGACTGGTATGTGATATTCTGGGCATCTCTGCTCTCAATCACATTTAAGGATAAAGTAGACTATTTTGGGTACATCTGCTATAGATTTCTGTTAGAATATGAAAAGCAATGGCGGTGCATTTATTTAGTTTTTATGCGTCAGTACCTGTATTGCTTTAATGGAATCCTATAGTAAATGTGATATATTGGCTGCTTTTGCTGACATCCTTTTGAAAATCCTAGATGCCTGGCTGTCTTCTAATTTGACTTAATATATTCTGAATCATGGAGCTGCAACAAGTATGCAGCCAGTAAGGGCAAAGCTCATGATCAGCATTCTTGTTTCAGGTCAATTACTCAAGTTATTTAAGCTAAGTAAGCAAAGTATCAACAAGACAGGCACTAGCATTTCCAGAAGGAGGTCAGTATTTTACCTAGATATATAAACAGAAGATGTGTTTAATAAAAAGGTAGCAATTATGTTCAAGAGGAAACCAGCAGCACCACACTTTAAAAACTGAGAATCTTTTAAAAGTAGTATATACACAATACCGGCCTTATTTTTTGTTGAATGTCATTGTAGTGCAGTCCTAATTTAGAACTGTATGAAAAACACAAGCTATGTTCAGATTTACAGGGAGCTTTTAGTTCCATTTCAGAGAACAAATTTCACATGGATACACAAACAACCGACATTTACAGAACACACATAAACCAGTGAACAAAAAAAAAAAAAAAAACAAAAAAACACATACAACTGTACTAATAACACATAATGCAAACAAAAATTGGATGTTTTATATGACTAAAAAGGTATGTAAAAGCATCAAACAGCAAAACCTCTTTCTACTATAACATAACGGAGCAAAGTTCCCAATATGAGACCAGCAACGGTTTAAAAAAAAAAAAAAAAAACAGAAAAAAAACCCCAGTGTGTACCCCATAATATAAAAGATGAGATATAGATGTTGACTGTAAAAAGAAACCCTTTAGGTTATTACAAAATGATGTAAGCTTTACATACAATGCCTTGAAAAAGTATTCATACCCCTTGAAATTTTCCACATTTTGTCATGTTACAACCAAAAACGTATATGTATTTTATTGGGATTTTATGGTGATAGACCAACACAAAAAGTGGCACATAATTGTGAAGTGGAAGGAAAATGATTTTCAAAATTGTTTTACAAATAAAATTTCTGAAAATTGTGGTGTGCATTTGTATTCAACCCCTTTTACTATGATACCCCTAACTAAAATCAAGTGGAACCAATTGCCTTCAGAAGTCACCTAATTAGTAAATAGAGTCCTCCTGTGTGTAATTTAATCTCAGTATAAATACAGCTGTTTTGTGAAGCCCTCAGAGGTTTGTTAGAGATCATTACTGAACAAACAGCATCATGAAGGCCAAGAAACACAGCAGACAGGTCAGGGATAAAGTTGTGGATATTTTTAACACAGGGTTAGGTTATAAAAAAATATCCCTAGCTTTGAACTTCTCACAGAGTACGGTTTAATCCATCATCCGAAAATGGAAAGAGTATGGCACAACTGCAAACCTACCAAAGACATGGCCGCCCACCTAAACTGACAGGCCGGGCAAGGACAGCATTAATCAGAGAAGCAGCCAAAAGGTCTATGGTAAGTCTGGAGGAGCTGCGGAGATCCACAGCTCGGGTGGGAGAATCTGTCCACAGGACAACTATTAGTCGTGCACACCACAAATCTGGCCTTTATGGAAGAGTGACAAGAAAGCAATTGTTGAAAGAAAGCCATAAGAAGTCTTGTTTGCAGTTTTGTGAGAAGCCATGTGTAGGACACAGGAAACATGTGGAAGAAGGTGCTCTGGTCAGATGAGACCAGAATTTAACTTTTTGGCCTAAAAGCAAAACGCTATGTGTGGTGTAAAACTAACACTACACATCACCCTGAACACCCCATCCCAACCGTGAAACATGGAGGTGGCATCACGTTGTGGGGATGCTTTTCTTCAGCAGGCACAGGGAAGCTGGTCAGAGTTGATGGGAAGATGGATGGAGCCAAATACAAGGTGATCTTAGAAGAATACCTGTTAGAGTCTGCAAAAGACTTGGGACTGGGGCGGAGGTTCACCTTCCAGCAGGACAATGACCCTAAACATACAGACAGAGCCACAATGCAATGGTTTAGATCAAAGCATATTCATGTATTAGAATAGCCCAGTCAAAGTCCAGACCTAAATCCAATTGAGAATCTGTGGCAAGACTTTAAAATTGCTGTTCACATACGCTCTCAATCTCATCTGACAGAGCTGGACTATTTTTCAAAGAAGAATGGGCAAAAATTTCACTTTCCAGATGTGCAATGCTAGTAGAGATATACCCAAAAAGACGTGCAGCTATAATTGTAGCTAAAAGGTGGTTCTACAAAGTATTGACTCAGGGGGCTGAATACAAAAAATGCACGCCACACTTTTCAGATATTTGTTAAAAAAAAAAAAAAATCTTGAAAACCATATAATTTTCCTTCCACTTCACAATTCCCAATAAAATACATTTACATTTTTAGTTGTAACATGACAAAATGTGGAAAATTTCAAGGAGTATGAATACTTTTTCAAGACACTGTAGGCAAGAAAAATGGCAGTAACAACAAAATACTGCAAGATTAGCCCAAAAATATTACATTACAAGCAATTCATACAATTAAACCTTTCCTTGCACAAACCAAAGAAAAAAGGAGGGGATTTTTAAGGTACCCGATAAATTTCTGGCATTCCATTTCATACATCCGTCTAAAAATGCTGCCACGTGGATTGCGGAGCAATGCTGGAACCAGGCACGCAATTGACATCAATCTGATAATTCAAGCTATCAGAAGCTGTGTTACATGAACCCCCTTTAGGCATTAGTATCAATAAAACATTTTTGGACATGAGTGCATTTGATTTTTCTGGTGATATATACAGTATACAGGACTAAACCTTGGAGTGGTGACCATTAGAACTGGTCCATCTCGATGGACCCATGCAGTCATTCCTCAGGCAATTGGCAGACTGTTGTAATGCTTTGTTATGGATTTATTCTTTAAAGCGGTTGTAAACCCTTACATATAACCAGTGAAGTTACTAGCCTCAGATGATGCACAGATGAATCAAATCCTCCTACATAAGTTGTATATCTACAGCCATCTGTCCTCTAAAGTCTTCCAAAACACACATTTTACACAGTATCTCTTAGCTCTGAAAAACAGGAGGAGGGGATCTGAAGTCTCACACTGGTAGGGTTACACCTCCCTCCTCACAGTACACAGAGCACATGCACAGATGTGGCTGTCAATCATAGACTGTGTCCTGGAGCTCTTCTCCCTAGTCACCAATGAAAAATCTGTCAGAAGTGGCTCATGCAGATAACAGAGGAACAAGGCAGCAGAGAGAAATCACACTCAGTTCTTTGGATAGAGCCAAGTACACAGTATAGAATGATGCGCTTTGTTCAGATTTTATGTCTGAGGTTTACAACCACTATAAGTTATGTTAGAATGTGCACTCAAATTGCACAGCCTCCATCACTTGCAGAATCGAATAGATTATATACAGTATATGAAACAGAGAATTGGATATCCAATCGTAAACAGCAACTTACTATAGTATATACAATACTTTATGGACTACATATTATAGATTGATGGAATATGAGGGTGTTACATGCATAAAGTTGTGCTGTACAAAATATTTTATTGCTGTACTTTGATAAAAATGGTTTATAAATAAATTTAGATTTTTTAGACAGATGTATGAAACAGAATGAAATCATTTTATTGGGTACCTTAAAAGCTCCCCCTTTTTGTGGGGGATGCTGGTACAGAATATCACGACACATTAGTCCCACAGACTATTATCTAAATATTTCCTACCTCTTCAATCTCCTTCATGAAGCATAGGGAAGAAATGATCAAAAAATACATTTTTAAAACATTTTGCATTGCAAGAGCTAAGACAAGGGTCGCTGATCATATTAAAAAGGTTGGCTACACAAAAGGCATCAACAAATTCCATTTAGTACATACAATAATTGGTATTTTAAGCAGTATTGAGAGAAAAAAAAAAAAAAAAAAAAAAAAAAAGACTGTCGAAACAATGGTTTTTCCACTACTCCATTCTGGTTAAACAATGCTAGCCCTTAGCTTTTTATTTCTCAAAATACAGAATGCTAACTGGTATAATCTGGTGCTGCTGGCTAGTCTTGTACATAACAGACTACACATATTGAAGGACAACTTATAGTAGTCAACCCTCTCAATAGAATACTATGCTATTCAAGCAACAGAGAAGCCTGCATCAGGCCACAGGCCTCCTATTGAATTACTTGTTGAATGAATCCAGGCAGTGCGCTATTTAACATTATGCAGTTCATGGCACAGCATGTCTATGTTCTTCAGATCCTCTGTGCTACAGTTCAGAGTGAACACTAGATAACATTGCGGTGACTGTTTTATTATGCATAGATCTGTAAGGATCACAGCCACAATTATTGCAAGGCAGACTGGTGTAGAAGTAGGTGAATGGCTATTTTATTAGAGAGTAAATATGAATGTGTTTCAGAACAAGACTAACCTGGACAACTGTAATCCTAACCAATTATATGTACCTCTTTAATTTCATCTTTTGCTTGCTGGAGCTTGTCAGGTTTGTTGGCAATCTGTAGCTTGGCTTCTGCCTCTCGTTTCTTCTGTAGGTTAACTTGAGCATCCTGCCATTTTTGCCAACATTTCATTCTTTGATCAAAAACTCCCTGCAATGGTAATCAACCAAACTCACTCAATCTCCAAAATGCACATTTTACCGTTCCATATTTTCATAGAAGATATACTTGTAATAGACATACATAGTAGCATGAGGAGAAAGATGACATTTCAAACAATGTGTGTCAGCATTACACAAACCAAACGCTATACAGAGAACATGGCAACCTCATGAAGACCCGGTTTATGTACTCAAGAGTGAGATGAGTAGGATCTGCTGGGGTACATTGTGTCACATGACTCACACCAAGAATAGAAAAAGAGAGGGGGAGGGGAAATGTACATAGTTGGAGATTTGGTCAGGAACAATGGTGTCAATGCTGAGATAAAGGCAGATACTTAACCTCTTTCCCCCCACACTATAGCAGAAGTACTGCTACAGGACGGCAATGCAGTGCAAAGTCAAGTATATATACGTGATTTGTATTTCCGGGTAGGGTGCACGCCCCACCCTACCCACGCCACTGGCGGCTGCGGATGTCAATCACCGGGTCCTGGCCAGAGATTCTCCGCCAGCGATCGGCAAGTTACACGGACAGGGGAGAGACCTGTGTGTAAACATAGGTCTCTCTCCTGCCAGCAGTAACATGCTGCTGTGCAACACCTCAGCAGAGAAATACACAGCAGCATGTTTGCCTAGTAAAAAATTGTACATGCCAAGGAGCAGGGCCCTACTAACCCTCATGTATTGAACGGTATTGTTGCTGTATTGTCTCCCATTATTTTGTAAAGCGCTGAGCAAACTGTTGGCACTAATAAATTCTGTATAATAAAACACACACAACACATTTTGTAAAACAAAACACAGCACAGAGTTAACCCCTTGATCGCCCCAGATCCTGCCCAGTGTCATTAGTACAGTGTCTGTGCTTTTTATTAGCACAGATCACTGTATTAGTGTCATTGGGATGTCAGTGGCAGTTAGTCCCCCCCCCCCCCCCCCCCCCCAGTGTCAGAATGCCTGAAGCAGTCCTGCAATAAGTCGCTGATCGCTGCCATTACTAGTATAAAAAAAAACACAAACAAACACACACACACTTGTAAATGCTACAACTTTCATGTAAACCAATTAATTTACACGTATTGGGATTTTTATTTTGGTAAAGACATGTAGCAGAATACATTTTGGTCTAAATTTATAAAGAAATGTGATTTTTAAAAAGTTTTTTACTGGATAGGTTTTATGGCAAAGAGTCAAAAAATATATATATTTTTTTTTTTAAAAAGGTTCAGTCTTTTGTTTATAGCACAAAAAATAAAAATGCAGAGGTGATCAAATACCACTGAAAGAAAGCTCCATTTGTGGGAAAAGAAAAAAAAAAAAAAAAAAAAAAAAAAAAAAAGGAAGAAGGGACATAATTGGGTGCAGCATTGCATGACCGCACAATTGTCAGTTAAAGTAATGCAGCGTCGTATCGCAAAAAATGGCCTGGTCAGGAAAGGGGGTAAATACTCTGGAGGGCAAGTGGTTAATCATGCCATACCATCAGGGAGGCATGTGATTGACTCCAAATTTATTCTTCACCAAGACAACAACCTCAAACATACAGGCAATGTCATTAAAAAAAACTTTTTTCAGTGTAAAGAACAAGGAGTCCTGGAAGTGATGGTTTGGTCCCCACAGAGCCCTTATCTCAACATCAAGTATGTCTGGGATTACATGAAGATAGAAGGATTTGAGGCAGCCTACAGCCACATAAGATCGGTGGTTAGTTCTCCAAGATGTTGTGAAGAACCTTCCTGCGGAGTTCCTTCAAAAACTGTTTGCAAGTGTGCCTAGAAGAAGTCAAGCCATTTTGAAGGCAATGGGTGGTCACATCAAATATTGATTTGATTTCTGTTCATTTACTTTCATTTTTTGTTAACTAACAAAAATAAACTATTAACTCTTCTGTTTCTGAAAGCATCTTAGATTTACAGCATCTTTTGACACCCTCCTTCTGCACACTGCACTTGGTACAGTAGGCACATGTCAGAAATATAAAATTTTGGGTTGACATTCTTTAATAATGCTAGTGACAGAGTATGTTTTTTTTTATTTTGAGGCTTACCAATCCTTACATGTGGTGGCTGCATATGTCTTTTAATCTTTTCCCTTTGCTGTATGTTTTTAAAACTACATATACTGTATTTGGGTTTACTGAATTCAGTATAAAACAGAACAAAATAATTTAGTAACAAAAAACTTACTTTCACAGCAGCAATAAGTCGAATATAGTCACTTAAAAGTTCTGAAAACACAAAGAAGTCAGCAAACGCCTGCTCCTGATGTAACTGGTCAATCTTTTCTTCTACCTCGGCAAGCTGGGACAGTGCTCTGGATAGGGCTGTGTGGTCCTCAGAATTGCCCAGCATAGCAGCACTCTTTGCAAATGCAGCTGTGTTAGCGGACAGCTCTATAAGATAAGAATACATACAACTGTAGTTGATTATATTTATAAACATGACAAACATATTTTTCTAGATATATAAAGGACCAGTCATGTGCGGATACTAATTAGATAACTATCACCATTCTGCAAGGTAGTCTGCTTGACTGAGAGTTCATTGCCCACTGTGAGGTTTGACACGATTACCTACAACTATTTTCAATAGGATGTTCAGCAAAGAACTAGTCCATGTTTGTGTTAACTCACAGGACACTGTTCCTCCCTACATGCTTCGATGTGCAAGTGCATCACTAGCCAAACTATTCTTTTTACATTTAGATGGTGTGGGGGAAAGAACCTCTATATATTTTTTGTGTGTTATCTATTATAAATGCGATCAAAAAAAAAAAAAAAAAAAAAAAAAAAAAAAAAATGTGGAGCAAGTCTTGGCCAATGACACACTGTAAATCCTCAGAATGCTCTCTACAAACACCTAATAAATAGGCCAAACAATATGCTACAAACTAAATAGATCTGTAGATCAACAGACCTGATCAATATACCAACCTTGGCAAGACAGTATTCTCAATAATATTACTATTTAGTTAAAATATTTTCACTTTCCTTACACAGCATAACGTCTTCTGGAAAAGCTGAGATGTTTTAATGTAAAACCATTGCACCCACACAGCTACATCATGATTTATGTCCACAATACAAAGCATGGAAATATATTCACCGGTTTTGTGGACATTTAAAGGGTTAGTTCACCTTTACCAAAAAACTGCCTATATAGATGAGGGATGTCTCTAGATAAAAACAAACTGTGAAACTCTGACTAAAGTTGAATAATGCCCCTGCTATAGGTGTAGGCCATTTACATACCTCACAAAACCTGACCAGAATACTTCCAGGACGTTGCTTAGTGAGGTCCAGTCATTACTGCTCACCTCCATCACAGTAGTGAACTCAGAGCTACTACATCAAGAGAGAGCATGTGAGGGGGTCTGAACCAGAGAAAAAGCGCACTCCTGAGATAGTGGGGGTGAGCAGTTTTGACTAGGCCTCACTTAGCAATGTCCTAGCAACATCCTGGGATTATTCCAGCCAGGCTCTATGAGGTACACAAATAGCCTACACCTATAGCAAGGACATTATTCAACTTTAGTCAGAGCACACAGTTTATTTTCTTCCCACAGACACCCCTTAACTCCATAGGCAGTACTTTGGTTAAGGTGCACTATCCCTTTACAAGTCTCTGAGAGGTAGCTGGCCTGTTCCTGAAACTACTCAAGAAGGGTACACAAATATATAGCATCTTATATACTGACAACATATGCAGTGCAAAGCTAAATGGGAAAAACTGAGAACTTATAGCAGGGACAATTTGTTAGACAGGGCTGTAAACTGAACCCAACTCATGTTCGTAACTGAACTGGCTGTAGAATGCTACCCAGCGCTAGAGCAAACAAAAAAATATTGAAATGAAAGGCTTCCTGTAGGTAGATGCCATATTTTTAATGTCCCTGGCCTAGAGAGACCTACAGCACAGCCAGCCATGGACAAACACAGTAAAGCATGACCAATGGCATTCATCAAATAAATAAAAAAAAACAAAAAACAAAAAAAAAAAAAAAAAAAAAACAACACACCTGACATCTGTATATCTTAACCTTACCAGTCAAAGACCAACATCAACCATACAGTTCCCGAAAGGCAAGGGATGCAGAACCTACAATGTCAGCTAGAGACAACGGTACCACCCTAAACCAATGCCCCACCTAAGGTCCCTTGCACACAGACATCATAATTTACTGATATTTACTCAGGAACTTGACAGTCCCCGAGTACAAACTGTGTATATAGACCTGAGTAATGCTTAGTATAGGCAAATAAAAGGTGAAGCTGTGTAAGCATAAAGATGAGTAAAAATTCATTTCCAGTTTTGTAACACTTACGTAAACACGTTTATAGATGAGTAGACACACATATGCAAGCAAGTTACCTCACTCGAATGAAAAAGTTTCTAATTTTGTTTTACAACTCTGTACTCAATGCTGTATTACTGATCTTTACTCAGCTGTGTGCCTTGTCCCATAGACAACAATGCGTCTAATTTCAGATCAGTAAAAAAAACTCAACATTTTCTACTCCTTGTGCAACAGGACTAAAAAATGGCCTAAAATCTTAGATCTTGTCATCACCCCATTTTACCTTTATGGCAGGAAGCATGGAGTTCTGACATCTACCTAGACCAATCCAAAAAACGGAAAGAACATTCCACCTGGAGTTCTAAACACCTCTTCTAAGTCCAAAGGAGCACCTCAAATACTGCTTGTTAGGCTGAGCTGGGATAATTTTCTCTGATTATACAGGAAAATCATCATATTGGACACGCTTACAAACCAACAGCCCTATATCGTAATACCATAAGACACCACTGAACAAAGAGGACCAGGGTAAAGTATATGGAAGGAGGCTGGACTGTGTTAATAGAGTGGTCTGCTGCAGGCATCATACCGGTATAACCAAAGTCCAGCGACATACTAGTTGTAACTGAACCGGATCCCGACTCTGCACTAAGGTATTTCCATTAGACTCCCGCTTCCCTGTCCGAACACAGATCCACGGACACCACTGCTGACCATACAAGAGGACAGCACCAGACTTGAAGGATTCCAGGAGATAGACTGCTTTATTTTAACATAGATACAAGATATATACACAGGGCGGGAAAATACACACTCAGTAACAGGAAACACATCAGCAGGCAGTCCCATCAGGGGGGGGAGGGCGACCAGAAACACCCCCTACCAAGCCAATGCACAAACACATACATCCCATAATAGTTTGCTCCCAAGCCAGACACAATAGAACAATGGGATGCAGCCTCATGGCAGTGAACAATGAGCAACCCCCACCTATACATGTCTACACAATAGCAGGACATTCCACCCTGTACCCCTAACAGGCACAGGGTGACTTACACATAAGAGGGATATGTGGAGCTGAGACAGAGGTCTCCCCACCTCTCTGAAGGGGGATGTGTTCCATGGGCCCTCCACCCAAAGTGACTCCCGTCACACTAGTACATTGCTGTTCCTTTCTGGGCATATGTACCAGCAGAGAACATGGACATATAATAAACCGGGTCTGTGGACCAATATGATCACAATTCATTCCATTTTGTAATACCCATATTGAGGGTTAGGCCAAAAGAAGTTTTAGATTCGAAAACCATGATAGGTTACCACGCGAATTGTCTGGCAAGAGCTGAATTTGGGTGAGCGGAGATGTATTGTTGTGCATATAGATTGCGTTGGCCCACAATCAACTTATGCAAATCTTCCATGAAAAACAGTGAAGGGGCTAAACGCTAGTGCTGGCAGCAAACAGGGATGATCCTGCCAACACTGCGTTTTTGGGGACACTATACTAAGGAGGCACTAGTATAGTTCTGTTCGTGATCAATATAATGATCCATACAAACACTATATTATTAATGGGGATGGATGTTCAGCGACCTATAGCACGAGTGCAATAGTGTGCAGGCATTCTAACGCTAAATGACCCTGGCTGGGAGGGGCGCTAACTGACCCTGATGCTATCTGATGTCACTAGTGGCAGTAATACAGTGAAAAATTCTATATACCGACACTGTACTAATGGCACTGGCTCGGTGGCAGGGTGATCAAAGGTTTAAATTTACTAATCTAACGTGTGTGTAAAATGTAGTGCTTTTACTCAGTGTGGTGTTTGCTCTTCTCTCCCTGGACCGACGGGGGGCAGTGGGGAGCGCACGCATGCATACACCCGGAAATAGAAAGTGGCGTAAGGGTACATCGCTTTCTCCAGAGCCGCCGCTCGCCCGCACATTGCAGGCATGTGGATGGCAAATAGTAAAAAAAAAAATAAAATAAAATTTTTTAATACTGTCATCAGTAGTTTAATGCTATCATAGTAAGACTCCTCCATTGACTCTCTGTCCCACCTTCTCACATCTCTCTTTTCTATACTCCACATTGCATTCTGTCCCTTTTTTCCTCTCTACAGATTTTCCCCATTTCGCCCCCCCCCCCATAATTCTGGAGGGGGGTGTTGATCAAGGAATTTTTTTTTTTTTTTTTTTTTTTAAACACTTTGCATTGCAGAAGAAAAAGAAAAAAAAAAAAAAAATTGCTTGCTTTGAACAGTCATGAATGGGTTAAGTTACTGACAGTTCAAAATAGTGATTTGTGATCGGCTATACCTAATCACACGGTACATGGACCAATCACAGCACCCTATACCATGTGAGAACTGTTGGTCAATCACAGCTCACCAGGAAGAGAATTCAGATAGATTCATAACAGCTTTGCTGACATTGTGATCATGTGATCGCATAGCTATCACATGATCCTGAATACCGGTGGACACAGCGGTCGTGGGGGAGGAGTTTGTGTTTCAGGGAGACCCCGTGTTGGTACAGCCAGAGCGACGTCCGCAGTACAATCCGGGCAGACGGACTGGAAGTGGTTAAAATGGGGGTGAGGTGAAGGGACAGAAAGGGGAAAGTATGTAGCATGAAGAAGAAAAAAAAAAAGAAGAAGAAGAAGAAGGGGGGACAGAATGCAATTTGTAGTATAGAAAAAAGAAAGGTGGGAGAAGGTGGGACAGAGAAAGTGAAGGGAAAAGAAAGGCAGAAAAAACAAGGGAGAAAAAAGGGGGTGAAGGTAATAACACAGACATATTAAACATTCTGCATACACAATCACACAAACCTTTGCGGTGGCACACCAAGGCTTCAACATTGGCGTGTAGTTTCCTAAGATGTTGATCTAGATTCTCAAATTGCTGCTGCTTTTCTTCAAACCACTGACAGTGAAGAAAAATGAGCAAAAGACCAATTTATCAAGGAGCAAAAACTCTGTTATGTGAAATTTACTAGTGACTGACAAGCTTGCATACAACAGTAGTGGTGAACAGAGAAAAACAAATAGTGTCAAAGGTGAATTATATTACTTTCTACCTCTATGAGTTTAAAATGCAATTGCTTAACAGAGTAAGGCCATCATTATGCAATTCAAAAAAAATCAGCTCTTACAGCATCCGATTCATTCATCTTGATTGTCATTTTGTTGACAGCGTCTGCAGCCTTGTTTACCATCCTCAATAATCCTGCTCCACTCAAGGCCTGGGTGCTAACTGCTCTTGGCAGCTACAATTGAATGACAAATAAGGGCAAACAAACCGGTTAAAAAGGTTGGAACCTTAACAGGGCCCCAAAGTGCAAATAAAAGGGATGTTACATTTTCTTCACTATATTACATTTCAATAGAGAGTAAACCCATTTTTTCTGATTTACTACATACGCTGTCCCAGTGGAAAGGATGAAAAAATAGAATTTTCATTTGTTCATTTTACATATAGATGAACAAGCACTGAAATTGTTCTAGGTCAATGAAAAGAGCCCCAAAGCTTAAAACAGCTAAACATGGCAGCTAGCACAATTGCACTACAATGCAACTTTGGAGGGGGGAAAAAAAAAAAATGTTCAAAGTGTATACACACACTCTATATTATAAATATATATATATATATATATATTATAAATAACACACATACATACATACATATATATATATATATATATATATATATATATATATATATATATATATATATATATATATATATATATATACATACACACACATACACACACACACACACACACACATATTATATACACATACACACTAACGTGCATTTGTAAGGTCAGGCAGTGATGACGAGAAGGCCTGGCTTGCAGTTTCCACTCCAATTCATACCAAAAGGTGGTGTTTTATCGGGTTGAGGTCAGGACTATGTGCAGGCCAGTCAAGTTCCTCCATCCCAAACTCGCTCATCCATGTCTTTATGGAGCTTGCTTTGTGCACTGGTGTGCAGTCATGTTGCAACAGAAAGGGGCCATCCCCAAACTGTTCCCACAAAGTTGGAAGCATAAAAATTGTCCAAAATGTCTTGGTATGCTGACGCCTTGAGTTCCCTTCACTGGAACTAAGGGGCCAAGGCCAACCCATAAAAAAACAATCCCACACCATAATCCCCCCCTCCAAACTTACACTTGGCACAATGCAGTCAGGCAAGTACTGCTCTCCTGGAAACCGCCAAACCCAGACATATCCATCGGATTTCCAGACAGAGAAGTGTGATTCATCACTCCAGAGAACACATCTCCACTGCTCTAGAGTCCAGTGGTAGCGTGCTTTACACCACTGCATCCAATGCTATACATTGCACTTGGTGATGTAAGGTTTGGATGCAGCTGCTCGGCCATGGAAACCCATTCCATGAAGTTCTCTACGCACTGCTGTTGTGCTAATCTGAAGGCCACACAAAGTTTGGAGGTCTTTAGCTATTGACTCTGAAGACAGTTGGCGACTTCTGCGCACTTCAGCATGCACTGACCCCGCTCTGTCATTTTATGTAGCCTACCACTTTGTGGCTGAGTTGCTGTTGTTCCCAGTTGCTTCCACTTTGTTACAATACCACTAGCAGTTGACCATGAAATATTTCGTAGCAAGGAAGTGTCACAGATTGACTTATGGCACAGGTGGCAACCTATCACGGTACCACGCTTGAATTCACTGAGCTCCTGAGAGCGACCCATTCTTTTCTTAAATGTTTTTAGAAGCAGTCTGTATGCCTAGGTGCTTGATTTTATATACCTGTGGCCTTGGGGGTGATTGGAACACCTGAATCCAATGATTTTGGAGGGGTGTCACGATACTTTTGGCAATATATATTTAACACACACCTCAGCATAAATGAGTACACCCAAACAGATCTGTCAGACAACCTTCACTTTAATTTCACAATCAAAATTTTCTATTGGACACTATACTACAAAATACTCCCACAAATGAGAGATGATAATCTTGGGACCACCAATCAGAACTGGACCAAGAGATATATAATCTATCTATATATATCTAATAAATAGTTATTTTAATATGGCTAGATCTTGGTCCAGCAATGCACCATTACATATGTCCTGCTGATTACAGTGCGTTGTGTGATTTTAAAAGGGTGCCTTGGACTAGTGAAGAGGTGTGTTATGCTTTTATGCACTTATCCTCATGCAGTAGTTTAGATTTTTGTAGAAATAGACATTTAAGCTGTAAGCCGTACAACTGAAGCCAATACCCGTTGAGAGCCCTTTACTATATACAATAAAACCTAAAGGTCTTCCACTCACCAGGCATCTTTCAGAGATATAGATATATTATAAATTTGTTCATAAATCACATCATGTGATGAACTCTCCCTACACATCTTAATTGAGGTTAGGTTTGTAATAGAAACACACACACACACACACACAAAATAATAGCATTGTGCTGAAAAAAGTGAATAAAGCTCAAAATCCTTCTAATAGCTTTTATTTCCATACACACAAATGCATTGGGAACACTACACATTCTATTCCAAATCAAAACATGAAGAAAAATATATCAAATTTGTGTTGTTCCTCTAAAAAAAAAATTTAAGAAAAGTGAATATTAGACTGTTCAAAAAAATAGCAGTGTTTGTATTCTTCTTTACAAACTCAAACATTCACTATATAAACTGAAAAATGTTTGAAGATTTTGCTTTCCTTTGAATCACTTAATATTTAGTTGTATAAGCATGGTTTCTGAGAACTGCTGTACATCTGTGTTGCATGGAGTCAACCAACTTCTGGCACCTGTGAACAGGTATTCCAGCCCAGGATAATTGGACTACATTCCACAGTTCTTCTCTATTTCTTGGTTTTGCCTCAGAAACTGCATTTTTTATGTCACCCCCACAAGTTTTCTATTGGATTAAGATCCGGGGATTGGGCTGGCCACTCCATAACGTCAATCTTGTTGGTCTGGAACCAAGATGTTGCACGTTTACTGGTGTGTTGGGGTCGTTGTCTTGTTGGAACACCCATTTCAAGGGCATTTCCTCTTCAGCATAAGGCAGCATGACCTCTTCAAGTATTCTGATGTATTCAAACTGATCCATGATTCCTGGTATGCGATAAAATAGGCCCAACACCGTAGTATGAGAAACATCCCCATATCATGATGCTTGCGCAACCATGCTTCACTGTCTTCAGAGTACTGTGGCTTGAATTCAGTGTTTGGGGGTCGTCTGACCAACTGTCTCCGCCCACTAGACCCAAAAAGAACAATCTTACTTTCATCAGTCCACAAAATGTTGCACCATTTCTCTTTAAGCCAGTCAATGTGCTCTTTGGCAAATTGTAACCTCTTCAGCACATGTCTTTTTTTCAACAGTGGGACTTTGCGGGGGCTTCTTGCAGATAGCTTGGCTTCACATAGGTGTCTTCTAATTGTAACAGTACTCACAGGTGACTTTACACCTTCTTTGATCTTCCTGGAGCTGATTGTTGGCTGAGTCCTTGCCATTTTGGCTATTCTTCTATCCATTTGAATGGTAGTTTTTCGCTTTCTTCCATGTCTTTCAGGTTTTGGTTGCCATTTTAAAGCATTTGTGATCATTTTAGCTGAGCAGCCTATCATTTTCTGCACTTCTTTATATGTTTTCCCCTCTCCAATCAACTTTTTAATCAAGGTACACTGTTCTTCTGAACAATGTCTGGAACGACCAATTTTCCTCAGAATTTGAGAGAAATGCACTGTAACCAGCATGTACAACATTTGCTACCTTCCTTCCTTAAATAAGGGCAATAATTGCCACCTGTTTTTCAAAGAATGAATGACCTCACTAATAGAACTCCACACTGCTATTATTTTGAGCATGCCCCTTTCAATTAGTGATTCAATTACACAGAATCAGCAGCATGCATGTCATGACTGTTGGATTTCTATTACTCTACTACATCTGCTAGTAAATTATTTGCCATGTAGAAATATCATTTCTACCAAAAACAGTGATTGATCAGGTTAGTGATGTCCGACTGCTATTATTTTGAACACAACTGCGCACACACACACACATATTTTGACACCGGCACAATTAGGTTTTTTTTCCAGGTATTTACCAAAACATATTCAAGCTATAGTTATATAATGGATATGAGCTGAAAGTGCACACTCTCAGGTTTAATTTGAGGGTATGTACAGCCAAATTGGAGGAAGGGTTTAGGAATTACAGCTCTTAAGGTGTAGCCATCCCCTCTATTTCAAGGGACCAAAAGTAATTGGACAATTGAATCAAAAGCTGTTTCATGGCCAGGTGTGGGCTACTCCTTCCTTATTTCTTTATCAGTTAAGCAGGTAAAAGGTCTGGAGTTGATTCTAAGTGTGGTATTTGCATTTGGAATCTATTGCTGTAAATCTACATCATGCGTTCAGAGGAACGGTCCATGCAAGTGATCCATTCTAGAACTATAGCTTGAATATGTTTTGGTGCATACCAAATTAAAAAAAAAAAAAAAAAAAAAAAAGAAGAAGAATTAAAAAAAAAAGTGTGCCTTCGTCCCAAATATATATGGACCCAACTGTACACACACACTTCCAAAATTTTTACAAAACAGTTGTATAGAACATTTGTTTAGCTCATTACATGAAAGCAAGGTTAATAATATAACTTAGATTACAAAATCTTCAGTTTTACTCAAATTAGTTGGTGCAAAAATGAATACACCCCACAACAAAAACTACTACATCTAGTATTTTTTATGACCTCCATGATTTGTAAGGACAGCACCAAGTCCTCTAGGCATGGAATGAACAAGTTGGTGACATATTGCAACATCTATCTTTTTCTATTCTTCAAGAACGACCTCTTTTAGAGTCTGGATGGAGAGTGATGCTCAACGTCTCTTCAGTCTTCCCCATCGGTGTTCGATTGGGTTCAAATCAGGAGACATACTTGGCCACTAAATCCCTTTTACCCTGTTCTTCAGAAATGCAACAGTGGCCTTAGATGTGTGTTTTGGATCATTGTCATGTTGGAAAAGTGCACAACGGCCAAGGGCATGGAGTGTTGGTAGCATATTCTCTTTCAATATAGAGCAGTACATATGTGAATTCATGATACCATCAATGAAATTCCGCAGTCATGCAGCCCCACAGAAGGACACTGCCACCATGTTTCACTGTAGGCACCATGCATTTTTCTTTGTACTCCTCACCTTTGCGACATCATACAGTTTTGAAGCCATCAGTTCCAAAAACATTTATCTTGGTCTCATAACTCCAGTACAGAGTCCCAGTAGCCTTTTTCAACATGAGCCCTGGCAAATTCTAGGTGGGCTTTTCTGTGCATGGGCTTTAGGAGAGGCTTCCTTAGTGGACGACACCCGTGAATGCCATTCCTCTGCAGTGTACGCCATATTGTGTCACGGGAAACAATCACCCCAGTTTGGCTTTCTACTTCTTTAGCCAACTTCAGTGAACTTGCACGGTGATTTTCTTCAACCCTTCTCATCAGAAGACGCTCTGGTCAAGGTGATCATGTCCGTGGATGGCCTGGACATCACTGAGATGGTTGCAGTTCCATCTGTAGGTTTTGTATCACTTTTGCTACAGTATTCTGACTGATAAGTAAAGCTTTGATAATTTCTTTACACAAAGGCTACAAAGAGGTCATCTTCCTTCTCAGGCCTTGTGACATTTCTCTTACGTGTGGTGCCATTGCTGACAGCATGAAATGGGAAGGGGTTTGTTAATGCACTTATCAACTGTCAGCTGGACACCTGTTTAATGAATAATTAGACTTACCTGTAGTTGAATTCTTGTTAATTAGGATTTAGTTGTCTAAAATTTAGCTTTGCTCCTAAGACTTTCATTGGGGTGTATTCATTTTTGCAACATGGTCTTGAATGAATTTGTTAGGATAAATACTTTGTGTTTGCAAATTAACAAATTGTGTTTGCAATCAATGGCCGGCATTTGTGGGAGTATTTTGTAGTATAGTGTCCCATAGAAAATGTTGATTCTGAAAGGAAAGTAAAGGTTTTCTGCCAAATCTGTTTAGGTGTACTCATTTATGCTGAGCACTGTATATGTACATATGATCTGCAAAGCATTCACAACACTAATATGATACAAAAGGTAAAATGTTATTGCTGGGAATAGAAGTGGAAAAAAAAAAAAAAAAAAAAAAAAAAAAAAAAAACAGTGGATCTTCTTTTCAACAGTGCCTACAGATAAAGAGGATACACTTGAACAAACAATACAGAAATATGATATGGACAGTCTTATCTAAAGTGATGAAAACTTTGATTTGTGACATGAAAAATGTACACCTTTCTGGCTACCACCACTTCAAATCCATAAAATTAGAATCAGTAGTTCCAGATTAGAACCTCCATGAGCATGCAGATGGTACTGTAATGTAAATAATCTACAAGGGTCATAGACTTTAAACAATTATTACTTTTTCCAGCACTGGCTGGCCAAAGCAAATTCAGCCTAATAGCGGACTGATGCTAAGAAGTCCCCAAGAACCCCCAAATCACATTGCAGGATCTGGAGGGAACTCATGCAAGAGTTGGTGTCAAAGTGCATGTATCTACAATCAGAAAGACTACCCCTATTTAACCTGCATGGGAGGTGTTTGGGTTTTAAAACAAACAGTTCTTGCTAGGAAACCTACACATAGGTTGAACTGGATGGACGGGTGTCTTTATTCAACCTTACCAAACTACGCAGCTATGTCAGAAGTGGTAACCTCCAGGGCTTTTTTTTCAGCTGGAACTTGGAACTCCGTTCCACAAACTCTGGCTCAGGCCCTCTGCTCACCACCACAGCTAGTCTCCCAATGACTCCCACAGATCTGATTGCAGGATGGGGACAAGAGAGATGCAGGTGCCCGGGGTGCAGTGTGGATGCCTACACCCCCAATGGATGACCTCTCTGCAAGTGAGAAAGGCATAGCCACCTACAGTGTATGGGGAGGTACTAGAACGGCTGGGTGCATCAGCTTAATACAGCAACAAAAGAAAGACATGTGAAAGATGCACTGTGTGTAGCACACCCCTGAACTATGTACATAGCGCACCCCTGAACTCTGCACTGTGTCACCCTCCTCCACCAATCCCCAAACTATGCACTCTGTACATAATGCACTCCTGGTATTTATACCCCATTAAGATTCTTAAAAACTCAAGGTTTATTACCTTCCCTTTCTATATCCAAAATGAAAAAAAAAAAAAAACAAAACATTGCCAATAGTTCTACTTTAAAAAGACTGGTGGGCAGTTACACAAAACAGCTACAAATCAATTCTACTAAAAAGGGGCAATACCATTTTCTGAGGTGTGTATTTACGAAGGGTTTATTTGATCCACTTTACATTACATCAGTTATTTCTTTTTTTTATTTAGGTATATAGCATTAATCTATTGCGGTTTGAATGAAGATCTAATGTTTGCTGATTCACATATTCTGACAAAGTCAACAATTTCCAAGTGGTGTACTTTTTCACATGAATGTATACACACACAAAGTATGGGTATAAAAGGATATCCAACAATTAAGGTTATGCGAGACAGATGTATCAAACCAAACATATTACCATTTACCTATTTCAAAGAAGCTATTATAATAAAAAAAAAAAAAAAAAAAATATTTAAAAAAAAAAAATAAAAAAAAAAATAATTAAAAAAAAAAAAATAAAAAAAAAAAATAAAAAAATAAAAAAATTTATAAAAATAAAAAATTAAATAAAAAAAATAAAATAAAAATAATAATAAATAAAAATATAAAAAAAAAAAAAAAAATTAAAATTTTAAAAAAAAAACAGACTATAATCAAAAAGTACCAAAAACACCACAACATAATAGTATAAGAAGCTGTACCTCACTGCTTTCTAAGAATTGTCTAAGATCTGGATCTTGCAAGAGGGTTGGATGTTTGACTGTTCGTTGAAGATATCTAGATATCGAAAAACAGAATACAAAATCTTAAAATGCATGCTTCAAGGTCCAAAGCTCTGTGAAACTAAAGTAATGTTCTTACCGCCAGAAATGATGAGGGCTTAAAAAAGGCAAAACTTTTTTTTTTCTTCATTTTGGATAGCGTAAGGGAGGGTTATAATCCCTACAATGTTAACCCCTGCTATTTATGTCCCATTGGGGAGATTTCCCTTCACTTCAACTGCCAAAACAGGAAGTAAAAAGGAAATGCCTCTACAGTGAAGGGACCCAGGGTCACCAGAACAACTGTCCTTTTGGAAGATATCCCCACGATTCCTGTTCTGAGAACAAACCTACATTTGTGAATTTTTGACTTTCACTTTCAGTGAATCCCTGCTATGGAGATTCACTCACTTTATAAGTGAAGACAGTTGTTCTAGTCCCTCTCCACTCTATACAAAACTAAAAAAAAAGTTTTGTCTTTAGTTATACTTTAAAGGTCAAGCTCAAAGTATTTCTACATGCAAAGACCCTGCTTTACAAAACGCAAAATTAACCGTAGCAACCAGTTAAAAATCATTACTTTGTTACTGTTCTAAAATGATAAAAACTGAAATCAGAAAGGATTTCTGCATATGCCCAACACTTCTGCTTCACTAAAAACAAGGTCCTCTTACTACATCAGACCTTCCATCACAACAGAGCAGTGAAATTAAACAAAAAAAAAAAAAAAAAAAAAAAAAAAAAAAGGGAGAAGAGGTAAGGCAATATACATTCAGATTCCACCCAACTCACGCATGTCACAGTTTTTCCCACTGGATCTTGGGAACACCAAGTATCTGAGATTTTGTAAAAAGATGCTTCTGGACTGTGCAAGAGCATCTCCTCATGGCGTTGGGTATCCTCAATAATCCAAGGATCTCCCTGGAAGAGCGGAGAGGTTTTTTTCCCCGCCTAGGTGATATGGGCAGAAGCCAGGTGGAAGGCAAGTATATTTTCTAACTTCTTCACAAGTTTTTTTAATTATTTTTTTTATCAAGTATGATGTGGTCTATTGCCATGAGGGTGAGTAACAAGCTGTATTAAGTGGACCTTGGCTTTTTAGTGCAGACCATGCTTTAATTACAAAAAATATTTTGGAAAATCAACCAATATTATCTAGTATAAGAGTCAATGATACACTGAAGTCACATAATAAAAAGATGGAAGGGATTCTTTGGAATTCTTTTCAGAAGAAAAACAAAGAATTAGAAATAATTTTATTAAGAAGCATGTGAAATATTGGGCGTGGAAAACATAGCTTCAAATATGGGTCACCACACAATACCTTTCTAAGGCAGCTCTTCTTTTCTCAACAAATTCATTAGATGAAGAGTCTTCTTTTCCCACTTTAACTTTAGTCATTCCTTAGGAACACAACAAAAACATAATATATGTATGCCATCCTTGTGCACCAGGGAAGCATCATTGCTGAAAAGAACCATCATCTCATCTGATTGTGCCTTCGCGTAGCAAAAATTGCATAAGCAATGTGAAAATCATAACTATTACTAAAAACAGAGGTTTTCAGTCTGCCAACATAGTGGGACATTAAGGTCACAAACATGTTTTATGTAGTACTAAAATAACAATATTTTAATTATTAAATAACACAGTAATAATTTTAGTTTAGAGCAGGGTTGTCCATCCTTTTGAAGAGCAAGGTTTACTTAAAGCGGAGTTCCAGTGAAAAAAAAAAAAAAAAATAAAGTCAGCAGCTACAAAATCGTAGCTGCTGACTTTTAAAAAAAATGGACACTTACCTATCCCTTGATCCCATGGTGGCCCCTTCGCAGATAATTTCACCAGCTGCCCGGTGCCGGCATCTTCATTGTGGGTACTCGGCTGTGACAGCTTGCAGTTTCACAGCCGGGTGCCCACTGTGTATGTAGCACTGTGCTTTGTGAATGGTCCTGTAGTCTTCTGGAACCTGTCACATGTCCCAGAAGACTACGGGGGGAGAGAGGGGATGTGAGGGTGGAGGACAACTTCCACTTCCCTAGGCGATCGCAGCAGAAGTGGGAGCGCCAACCCTAGCGGGGAGTGGGGAACCAGTCCTTAAAGCGGAACTTCCCCTTTTGGGTGGAGATCTGCTTTAAGTGACCGTTTAAGTCCGTTTACATCTGCCACTCCATACAGGTGAATTAGGGGCCACCTGAAAAATAGACAGACGGACCTGATTGGACCGATCATGTGAAAAGGGCCTAAGGCTGCTTTCACACTGATGCGCTGTGATTTACCCACACTGCAGGTGCAGCACAGTGCACATGTGGCTTTTCTGAGGGTTAGCTACACTTTGCCATAGACTTCTATTATATCCTGTAGGTGTGGTGCACTTTCTGAAAGCACACCAAAACTTCTTCATTCACTAAAACGCACAGATAACAACAGGAGTCTATGGCTCAGCGCAGGTAACCAGCAGGTAAACACTGTGGTGCACCTGCAGATCAGTTTGAAAGCAGCCTAGTAACCACTGCAGAAGAGATATGCCCATATACCCTCACTGGCCACTTTATTAGGTACAGCTTGCTAGTGCCAAGAAAATATACCCCACCATTACACCACCACCAGCCTGAACCATTGATACAAGGCAGGGTGGATCCATGCTGTCGCCAAATTCTGACCCTGCTATCTGAATGTCGTAGTTGAAATCGAATGCCCATTCTCCTCTGACCTCAACAAGGCATTTTTGTCCACACAACTTCTGTTCACTGGATATTTTCTCTTTTTCGGATCATTCTTTGTAAACCCTAGAGATGGTTAGGTGTGAAACCCCAGTAGATCAGCAGGTTTTGAAATATTTAGACCAGCTCATTTGTCACCAAAAACCATGCCATGTTCAAAGTCCCTTAAATCCCCCTTTTTCCCTCCATTCTGATGCCCAGTTTGATCTTCAGCAATTCAGCTTCACCACGTCTAGATGCCTAAATGCATCGGCTTCTTCCATGCGATTGGCTAATTTGCAATTTGTGTTACCAAGCAAATGAACAGGTGTACCTAATAAAAGTGGCCAGTGAGTGTATACACTGATTTTAGAATATAAACTGACCTTTAAAAATAATTTTCCATTCAGAAATCTCCCTTTCAACAGGTATTGCCATCTATTGCTGTCCCAGGCAGAGTGGATTAGTATACTGCGCCTGTGACAGGAGCCGGTGCCATACAGGAAGCATCAACTTATGTGGCTCTGCTCCCTCCCCAGCTGTTCTTCCTCTAGCACTGGCTCCATTCAGAACACGGATGTTCTGGGATGTCGTGTCGAGAACCCGCGATCTGGGCTTGCCAACTTGCCATCCCAGAGCATTGTGTTAACTTGGTATACTGTGGTATAAGTTATAATAGGTACCATTCACATCACTTGTGTTGTGCTGACACCTGATGTAGGCTTTGATGCTCTGCTATTCATTGTGAATGATACACCAACATGCCTTCAAGAACGTGCACTGCTCTAGATCCTCATTTTGAGGTGTATTTCAGTTTATTCAGAGAAGCACGCGGCAAAGGGCGTCAATGCTCAACAATGAATGCATTGCAGCGTACTGTGCTCTGGTGTTAAGGGGCCCTTAAGGAAACCCACTGATTTGAACGGGTTGCCAACACACCACAACACAGGGAAAAAATACAACTTTTCCTACTGGGGTACATTTAATCTGGTATGCTCAAAACTGGTCAAGTGTTACCGTTCTACATAATACTCCCCTATTTTTAGACAAAAGTAGATGTTATTTCACCATGCTGCATTGCTACTCTAACTGAAGCTAATCGTCAGCTTCCTGCAGGCTCTTCCTTTTCCGTACAAATGATATTTTTTGCGCAATATAAACCTGCTAGCCCCTCTCTATCCCTCTACATTGTTAGAGCTGCTTATCTTCCTCACATAACAATCCAAGAGTTTCCTGTATGCAGACAACACTAATTTCTGTAGAAAATCTGGCCATGACCAAAAACACAAAGGGATTTCTGTAGAAATGTGCTTGTGCAACCGTAGTCCACAAAACAGCATACTGTTGCTCTGTAAGGACATGCTGACTCACCTACAATACTTTTCTCAGGAGCAGGAGGCACTATATATCCAATATGCATGTACTTTGTTGCTAGTTTGGAGTGAAGTCCAAGAAAATCACTAAACCTTCTTTTGACGTAAAATTCTTTTTTGTTGAACATAGATAATGAGGTCTAAAAAAAGAAAAAGAATGAAGATAATTCAGAAACTAAAAACACCACGAAATGAACACAAGTTAACAAAAAAACTCATCAGTCAACAACGCAAGATTAAAACGTCTAAGGATCTAAAGACCTAATTTTAGAAATCATGGCGCTGGGTAAATGTGAATCTATAGTCCCCTCCAGTGACTCAACATCTGTGAGCCCTCTCGTTGGCACCATCTTCATCTAGTCTTCTTCCAGGTTCCAAACCTTCAGCCATCTTAATTGGCCACGTCAGGATGCGGTAACCCCTGGCAGAATTGTACTCTGCAATCTCGAGAGTGTACTCTGAGCTGTCTGTGGAGCTCAAACCAACAGGTAAGAATCTTTTATTGCAGAAGAGATCAGGCATGTCTGTTCTGCAATGAACAGCCTGTCTGTCTTCACAGACTGACTTAGAGAATAGTTAGTAGAAAAGGAAATAATTACATGCTGATCACACAATGGTGGTTGCATGATTTTTCTTTCAGAATTTTTCTTCTTCCTCACCTGGTGATCATGCCATAATTCCGGTCCTCGGATGACACATTCACCCACCTTACACTATGTAGGAACAGCATGGTCACAAAGAACTTTAGAACACCTCCTCCATAACATAGGGGGAGGTTTTCTGTAGTTCACAGGGAGAGCTGGAAACAATGAGCAACAGATGTAATTAGCTCACAAGAGTTCTGGCAAGTTCACCAGGTAACACTTTCAACTGAATATTTATCACATAAAAAAAGGGAGCTTTTTGTTAGGGTTTACATACAATTTAGGAAAAACTATTAAACTAGATTGCAGCAATAAATCATACAATTGTCATTAGTGCAAAACATTGAAGAGAATGAAAAGTAATATTTCATCTACCTTTGTTGTTACTTTGTACGCCATGTAAGCATTCATTCCGTCCCCTAAAATAGGCAAGTGATAACATATGAAATAAATCACAATTTCAGTGATATCAATAAAAACAAGAACATTCACCTTGTAAAAAAACTCTATACCAAGTTAGATTTAAGTGACAAAGTTATCAATAGTTAATTTTCAGAGGCTACGTACCAACTTTCTCTGGGTCTGAAACCCCTATTTCAATGTCAAAGAAATCTCCATTTGCTTCCTCTTCAATCTGTTTTGAGAGATAAAGTTAAATCATGGAACTCTAAAAGAATATGAGCGTTTGAAACACACTGCTTTAAGGCTCCATTCACACATTCATCGAAGTGCACCAATGTTGCAGCACATTGTACTTTTTGCTTATGACAGTCGGGGCATTTATCTCTTATGTGGCATTCATGAACAAAGCAATTCCAAAATAACAGTGGACTTCTATGGGAAGTAGAGTGTGCTCTTTGGATGTGCACATCAGAACGCAGGTGATCCAGGACATCTTTCCAACACATGGTGTAACAAAATTGGGCTGATTTACTAAAACTGGAGAGTGAAAAAACTGGTGCAGCTCTGCATAGAAACCAATCAGCTTCCAGTTTTTTGTCAAAGCTTAATTAAATAAGCGGAAGGTAGAAGCCGATTGGCTACCATGCACAGTTATAGCAGATTTTGCACTCTCCAGCATTAGCAAATAATCACTCCCTTGGTGTAAATGGCTTTGACTGAAAACACTTTGTTTTCTCCGTTTTGTGCCTGTGTTGGAAAATATAGCAAAATGAAAGGCATTGCATTCAGTGGGAACAAGCCCTAAAACATAGAGCTGCTTTGCATACGAGTGCCAGCCTCATTCATCACAGAGAAGGATAGATTAAATTTGCCACAGAAAATACACCATGTAGGACCTCTTTTTACAGTACAACACGCTATGGTAGACAGATGCAGCCCAAAGGACAGGATACTGCAGTACCAAAGCTGCCAAAGTTTCATGGAATGTCTTGCTTTTCCTAAAATATTGTAAATCCAAGTAAAATGGAACAGGAACTGGATGTTTGTAAACCTTTAAGTGTGCATTACACTCACCTCATCCCTTGAGCGGTCATAAATAACAGGTGCAGAAATATTGATGGTTTCCATCCGTGGAGTAATGATGGATGTGGGCGTCACAGGGGTGATGGCAGGACTGGGCTCAGAGGACAGGATGAGCTCTCTCTCAGGACTATCCAGGGACACCTCATCTGTGGCTTCTACAACAGAATGTCTGTTAGGAGAAATATGTACTCTATTCTTAAACTTCTTTGGCTACAAAGATGGACCTGTTATGCCAGTCAAACCATTATAACCCTACCTATGAACACTACTACATGTACTAGTGACAAAATGTTTATTTGCCACCTGGCAGGTAAAGCTGAGATGGATCAAGGTTGCCACTGACAAAGACCACATGATATCTACCCCAATGGATAGATGGATGAGTCGGATGACTAGACCTGGAGCTGTCAGTACACTGCTGTACCCCCAGATGCATGATGATAACCCATGCGCATTAATACTTTTGGTCTGGTGAGTGTACATCCGTCCCAAGGGTGGATTCCTTTCATGAATTCCTGCACATCTGTTCTTTACGAATAACCGTACGTGCTAATAAAGACACTTTTGAATTGATATCCTTCAACAAAGGACATTATCAGTACTTATCATTCGTTGTATGAACTGTTCACAGTTTGTCACTATTCATTTGAGTGAAATACTCAAATTGCACCTTTGATGCACTTTATTCATTTATTGATGTCATATTTGTTTATAACATGATACATGCGTTTATAGCACTGCACTAATATCTTTAACATTTAAATTTTCTTGTTTTCATTCAGCTTTGTTAAAGCAGTCAATGGAATGCTTTGCAACTGCCGGCAATTCAGTGTCAGAAAGTAATTTCCGCTTCAAGGATTTTGCTATGAGCAATCAGTCTGCTACTCTTAAATTGCCCCTCAGAGATGACAGTTTCATAAACCAGCCAATGTTTAAAAGGACACACACACACTTCTAGATCGTCTCTGCTGATCGCTATGCAGCTTAAGACAAAATTACATTCCAGGAAAGCTTAAAGAGGAGCATACATGGGTCAGTGTTTTTCAATCAGCCAGCAAGCTGATCGAGAAATTGGATGGATTCCCCCATCCACACAAGCAAAGAGGATAGAGGAATCCTCCTCGCTGTGCTATTGTATTCCAACAGCCGGGACTCCTCTGCTGTCAGAAAATACTGAACAATGCTTCAGCTGATTGGCTGCAGCATTGATCAAACATTTTCCAACAAGCCTGTTCATGAGAAGTCGATTAGATGAACTGGAATGGCCATAGATGGATCCAAATTTGGCAAATCCCTGCCGAACTGGACACATTTCGATCCATCTATAGCAAGCTTAAGAGTAGGCAACAGAAAGAGCCCTGACTGACCATGCAGAAGTTGTTCAACTCAAGGGGCTGGCATGATGCTCCAAAGTTATGGACAGCAAGCATTCTAGCAAAACAAAAAAAACACAGCAGCACACAATATAGCTTACTCTGCATTAAAGTAATAGCAGGCACATAGTGGTGCGATTTGGATTTGCCTGACACTAGTGTGAGCATAGCTGTGGCAATTATCTGATAAGACAAATAAGTTAATAGAGTAACAAAATGAAAGTAAAATCATCTAAAGAATGTGCCGGGCTCTGTCACAAAGTGCAGAAATGATGAACAAACTTCAAATACACAAGGTAAACTTTAAACCCCTTTGTAATGAGTAAATTACTGTGGCTTACAGTGTAACCCATTGCCCATTTTATTGTGAACTTTCACCTTTGAATGATGCCGAGCATCATGGTTAAAATGTATATAAAAGAGTAGCAACTAATCACCAACTTACTTACTTTATAGCTCAAAAAAGGGCTTTGTCTTCCTGGTCTAGACGCAGAGCCAGTTTTGAAAAGAATAACAAATTTGTAATTGGCACATTATGACTGGGCAATCTAATCACATTAACCACTTGCCCTCCAGAGGATTTACCCCTTTTCCTGACCAGGCCAATTCTGCGTTACGGCGCTGTGTTACGTTAGCTGACAATTGCGCGGTCATGCAACACTGCACCCAAATGAAATTGCGTCTTTTTCCCGCCCCAAAATCGAGCTTTCGTGGTATTTGATTGCCTGTGCGAATTTTATTTTTTGCGCTATAAACAGACAATTTTGAGAAAAAAAAAAAATAATAATATTTGACTTTTTGCTATTAAACATGTCCAATTAAAAAAAAAAAAAAAAAAAAAAAAAAAAAAAATACCAATACGTGTAAATTGGTTTACGTGAAAGTTATAGCGTTTCCAAATAGCGGTATATATACACTGGAATTTTCTTCTTTTTTAATAGTAATGCGTCAATCAGCATGCATTCTGACACCGGGGGGAACTGACTTGTTGTCACTGACCTCCCCAGTGATGCCAATACAGTGATCAGTGCTAATACAAAGCACTGACACTATACTAATGGCACTGAGCAGGAAGGGGTTAACAATTGGGGGGCGAAAGGGTTAACTGTTTTACTATGAGGCTGTGTGTGCACGTTCCACTGTAAGTACACTGCTTTGTATGGCTCTGCTAGGCAGAAGGGGTTAACATCTGGGGCAAAGGGTTAACTGTGTGCGTTTTAACATGCTGTGTTTTACTAGGGAGGCACACTGCTTTGTATGGCTCTGCTAGGCAGAAGGGGTTAACATCTGGGGCAATCAAAGGGTTAACTGTGTGCGTTTTAACATGCTGTGTTTTACTAGGGAGGCATGCTGTTTTGTATGGCTCTGACATGCAGAGCCATACAAAGCAGTGTGCAGGAGCTGACAAGGGAAAGAACTGAATTGTTTACATACAGTTCTCTCCCCTGTTGGTAATACTCAGCAATCTGAGGTGCTTTAAGTAATGTTTGGGGCTTTTAAAAACGAAAGAGGCTTTATGGCGACTTAAATGTTTAAGATTGTTAACATTGCCTTATCTCCTCTCCTCCCCTCCCTGCCTGTCTCCAGCACCACACCCGGGGACTAGCAGGGAGGGGAAAGACCTTGCAGTGTAATGAGCACTGATTGGGCGCTTGTCAGGAATGGGGAGTGTTGACTTATCTTTTATCCCTTTCGCTGCCGGAGCTGTTTTTGTGAAGATTAAACAAAACTCCAAACATGATATTTTCTGAAATCAGAGACCCTAGAGAATAAAAGTGGTAGTTCCAATTTATGTCACACGATATTATCACAAAGATAAAATTTCAGTAAAAAATACATTTAAATTAATTTTAGGGCACAAAAAGCAATTATCCAATGTTTTTACAAAATATAAAAGACGAGATTGCATCGAGTAAATAGATATCCAACATGTCAAACCTTAAATTTGCATGAGCTTGTGAAACAGCAACAAACTCAGTGTCCTATATTTTCTATAGGTGACGCATTTAAAGCCCCTTATAGGTCATCAGTTTAGCATTACGGAGGTGGCCTTGTGGTAGAATTATTGCTTTCATTCTGCCGTGCGCGGCGATATGAAACATGTGCATCGCAATTGACGTTTTCATGTGCAGATGCACAAGCGCGTGTTTTTACACTGGTACGTGCCTGGGGTTGGGGGAGGGTCTTGAAAAATTGGGGGGGGGGGGCATCCAGAGTCTAAAAGACACCAAATGTCTCCCTTGTGCTAAGGGGGGGGGGCTCCCTGTGCTTCTGTCTCCCTTGTGCTTCACTGAATGTAATTCAGTGCACATCGTACCGCATTACATTTTTTCCTGGCCTCGATGTATGGGAATCTGCCAATGGGGACCCAGAAGTGTCGCCGAATCACTTCCAGGTCAGACCAAGAAGGGGAGGGGAGAGGAGAGGAGAGGATCGGAGCAGATGCAGATGTTGCCCGAATGCTTCCATCTGACAGGTGAGCCCTGCTGATTTCACGCTAAAGGACTAAAAGTTAATCAAAAACTACCTACCTGGCACCCAGAACTACAAGTCCCAGGTGTCAGGCGATATAAAATGAACATCCCTGCTATAGAACATTTATGCAGGGAGCTGAAACTTCGATTTGCCAAGCGACGGGCAAGAAACCTTAAGGATTTAGAGAAGATCTGTAAAGAATGGACCAAAATCCCTCCTGAGATGTGTGCAAACCTGGTAACCAACTACAAGAAATGCCTCTGTGCTTGCCAACAAGGGTTTCTCCAAGTACTAGGTCATGTTTTGCTTGGGGATCATATACTTATTTTACTCACTGAAACTGCAACTCATTTTATAACAATTTGTTTTTTCTGGATTTTTGGTTGATATTATGTCAATCATTTAAAATACACCTAGGGTACAATATTATAGACCCTTCATTTCTTTGTAAGTGGGCAAACTTACAAAATCTGCAGAGGATCAAATTAATTTTCCCCACTGTACATACACATACTAGGGCCAATTTAGACAGGAGCCAATTAACCTACCAGCATGTCTTTGGAGTGTGGGAAGAAACTGGTGTACCTGAAAGAAAACCCACACAGGCACAGGGAAAACATGCAAATTCCAAGCAGGTAGTGCCATGGTTGGGATTCAAACCAGTGTTCTGCTGTCTTTAGTCAGAAATATGCCCACTTGGCCAATCTAAGGACAAGCATTTATGGATTATAGTCTGCTTTCACATCCCACATTCATCTATTCATCCCATAGACATCAAAGACTATATTTTGACTGCTCAGTAATTGTGCTGTAGAGGCCTTATTCCCATCACCAAGGAACTGCTTTCTCTAAGCAAACAACTCCCTACTTGCACTGATGGACAACTGTAATTGTCACTTGTGGGACTGACAATAGGACACCCCTTAATGAATATGTAAGCCCAACATTTCATAATCCTGCATATTTATGCACTTGTATGAAAAACGTATCCTGTTCCCTTTGTATTAATTTCTGTGTGTGGAATCCATGGTGTTCCTGCCAGTCCCTCTGCTTTCTTATTAAAAACTGACCACACTAAGTAAAAGACTGTGCAGAGGGGGTTTCAGGAAAAGTGTAATAGGTAGAAGAGAAGAGAGCACACACAGTTCCCAGCATAGCCAGAAAACTGACCAATTTGTGCTCTCATGCCTAGTGTGGTCAGTTTTTTTTTTTTTTTTTTTTTTTTTTTTTTTTAGGAAAGCAGAGACTGACAGGAGCACCAAGAATTTCACACAAAGGAAGCAATACAAAGAGGATAGTTTTTCATACAAGTACATGGTACACCAGGCACATAGGGAATATGAAACATTGGGTTTACATATTTTTTAATGTGGATCATAGGTTTCCTCACACAGGATGGCTGATGTGCAGTTATGTAAACCTTCCTCACATTCCATTCACCCTCTTACAGTGATGACTCGCTGTTCATTAACACGCTCATCACAGACCTGCAGTTACACTACAATGTTTATTAAAGTGGGAATAAACCCACTTTATCTTTTACCTACAGGTAAGCTTACGTGCCCTGTTTAGGAGATATTTGCTCTTTTGGAAGCTGAAGGAATGGCAGGGGCATGCTGTTCCTATGCCATGTCCCGAGACTCCCTTCACGAACCCAAAAGGAAGACCGGGTAAAAATGGAAGCCTCTGCAGCGGGGACACAGCACCGCTAGAAGGCTTCGTTTTAAGGCAAGTCCTGCATAATGTGCTGGTATGCAATGCATACTAGCACATTATGACATTACCTTCCAGGGGATTTTTTTTTTTTTTTTTTTCTCCAGCAGCGGTTTACTACAGCTTTAACCAGCCTCAGAACAGGAGTGAGGCTCGGTGGTGTTAGATAGTGAAAAGATAAAACTAATGCAAGAAGTAACACAGTTTACTGAATGTACACAAATAGTAACAAAATGCAGCAAACATTTGTCACAAAGTGAATAACTGTGCTTCTAAGTAAGCCAAGCACAGTGCAAATAGAACACATCTGACATTAGGCTTAGCTACTGTGTGTAAAATAAACAAAATCAAACACTATAAAAGGATCAGACTGGAGAACCAAACTGGACAGCATTGATACCCAGCATACAAAGACTATGCCAGCTTCCTAACTGCTTCCAACTACATTTTATACTCCCGATACTGCCATCTTCTATAACTGCTACAAAGAAGTGAATTTATGAGAATATTTATTAATTTGTTTAAGAAGCTATGATGGAAAAAACAAAAACAAAAAAAAAAAAAAAAAAAAAAAAAAAAAAAAGGGACGATGACAATTTTTTTTTTCATCTTGAATGGTTATACACCAATTATTGGCAATTCTGTGTTCTTCCCCAGAACGTGTGTCATTACTCCAAGAGGCCAAACCTGACCCCTTTCCAAACTCTAAACTGAACCAGAATGGCCTCCACACCGCTTTCTGTAATATTTAGATTTACTTTAGAATCTTTTTAGCTGACTGCTGCTATTTACGGCTTGAAACTGGAAAAAGCTATATACTGGATGTTTATTATTTCTTTGAGAAGTACTTTATTTTTTTCCCCAACCCAGACCCTGATTACTAGGCCCAATTTATTAAATACCTTCAATAAGTTTAACCAAATTCCAGTTTTCAACTAAATGACTCAGTCAACCTTTACGTCTCCTTCACACAGTCGTAACTGGTAACTGAAATGACAGGTGCATGTGAATAGAGGTGGATGCTAAGCCTATTTAAACTAATTACAGATGGACAGCAGCCCCCACTATTTGCATGTAGCTGCACATCAAACAAACAGTTACCTTCGATTAGGGAGCGATGTCAGATTCTGGATGCAGCTGTGTTCAGGCCCAGACATCCGTCACTAACTGCAGGTAGCCCTATGGAGTGCAGCCACATGTGAAACAGCAGTGGCCACTGTCGGCCTGTCATTCATTTATATATGGTGAGCAGCTATTCACATGCATACAAAAAGGGGGGGGCGTGAAAAGCCTTAAATCATAATTATTGCAATACCTCATCTGGTTAATATAAATGCATCCGCATCCTTATATATGTATTTTTATTATTTTTCACCCACATTGCCTGGTTAGGTTTATGGGTAAGAATATCATTGTTACTTGGTGCTTGATATCAGCCATTATTGCTAAGCATGTCATGCCTACATGGTATAAATTTTTTTATATACTCCCTACATGGTGCTGTAACCAATGTACTGGTGATGCAAATGTATTAGACAGTACTTTGTAATAATGTGCTGCATACATAGTGACAAAGACTGGTCTTGATACTGTTTTTATGTGACTTTAGGTCTGTTTTTGTAATCTCATACTGAGGTGATGGTGAATCAGGGTATTTACCTTAATTGTCCATATGTGTATTGTGTAAAGCATAATTTTTGGAACTACTTTTTGTATCGCATTCTGTCCATAATGTAACCACTTTTTTGTGAATCTCTTTTCACGCCCCTTTTTTGTATGCCTGTTTTTTTGGTTACTGGGCAGAAAATATACGCCTGGCGATATATTAAGGAGCCTCTGATCCTTTTCTTTACCAGCTATTCACATGCACCTGTCATTCCACCCACAAGAATCCGCTAACTCTTGCTGCTGGAATCTGGTGTATGCAGCTAAACGAGCGTGTGCATCAGGACGAATATCTGATTAGAGAAAAATCAATGCAAAAATGTATTTCCATTCGCTTGGAATATGAAAGCAATTACATTTCTGGGCATTATGCTTCTCACTTTAGAAAACAAAATTTTCAACTTAACAACATTGCTCGTTTTGATCCAATGAGACAAAAAAGGTAATTAATTACAGGTACTTCTATAGCGCTGTCAATTTACGCAACACTTTACATATATATTGTACTTTGACATCAGTCCCTAACCCTCAAGGAGCTTACAGTCTAAGGTCCCTCACATTCATACATTAAAAGGGCCAATTTAGACAGGAGCCAATTACCCAACCACCATGTCTTTGGAGTGGGAGGGAAAAAAAAAAAAAAAAAAAAAAAAAAAAAAAAAAAAAAACGTACAAAAGAAGAAACCCACACAGGCACGGGGAGAACAAGCAAACTCGAGGCAGTTGGTGCCGTGGTTGGGATTCGAACCAATGACCCTAGTGCTGCCAGGCGGAAGTGGTAACCATTTAGCCTACCCTTTTTGTTTAGAATATACTTGCTCTTTCATCAACTCCTGGTCATTCAAACTATTTCCTAAAACAATGGCTGGCCCCTCCATCTTTTTTTTTTTTTTTTTCCCCAAACATCAGAACTTGTCTATCAATATCAACCACCGACGGCCTGAACAACCCATTTATCTGTACGCAAATCCATTAACAGTCCTGTCTACAGATAAAAGGCCTTTACCAATGAAGCCCATTGCTCTACTATTAAACACGCTCATTCCTTTGGAGCAGAATCAACAATTTTTTTTATTCCTTTTGCCTTTTCTCTCTATTTTTGTCTCATTACCCTTTTTTGACCAATAAAATTAACCAGGCCTGCCCCACTAGCTCCTAGAATAAGTGTTCATTTTAATTTTAATCCAGTTAAGGTTTACAAAGTAGATTCTGAAAAACATCTGCAAATAACCTTATGGTTGTGTGGTTGAACGAAGATATTTTTTATAGTTTAAGCAATCAATTATATTATGGTTGGTCAAACATTTCACTTTGTTGCATCTGTATTATAATCTTTAATTAGCAATTTGGATCAGTTATTTTTTTTTTTTTTTTTTTTTTTTTTTTTTTTTTTAAGGGGGCACGAGCCATGCAATGTAAGACCTAAGTAGGTGTGCAATTTTCATCACATCCCTGTGTGCCTTTCATGGGTGAAATCACAACAGTGTACAATGTGTTTTATAACTTGGCTGGCAGAAAACAGACTACATGTGCTCCTTAGAAGCCACAAACTTTCAGTAAATGAAAAAGCATACCCACTACCTAGAGCTCAATAAAGAGTTATTACCAGCAAAAAGGTCTTCTCTGTCATCACTAAGGATAACATCTGCTGGTTTTGGGCCGTTAGAATTCGTACTGAGATCTTCTGCATGAAGGCTGGCTGGTTCAGGCGACGATGGGCTGGACTGCAAAACAAAAATCAAAGCCTTTTTAGCCTATAAATTTTCACAACACTAGCTGAAATTTTTAGCAAAAGCTGACATTTTGAGGATGAAAAACAAACAAGGAAATAGCAAGAAGTGTCAGCACTTTCCATTTCCTAATCCAGACAATGTAACAAAAGAAGGAAACACTCAACCGAATTATCAAGTCAAAAGCAGTGCAAATGTTTAAAGAGAACCTGTTACCTACAAACACAGGCCAATGCATCAAATTAGTTAAAAGGGTTTACTTTCTTCAGTATTTTGTTTGTTTTTTTTTTTTTTACACTAAAAAGTTAAGTTTATGAAGGTAACAACATACAGTAAGAACACCACATCTTAGATACAGCACAGATGGCCAATGAACAACAAGTATTAAGCAAAGTTCTCATCAGCAATAACACAACAATGTATTAGGATAATGTAACCACTGTCAACAACAGGAACATGATAGAGGTCTGAAAATTATTTCAGTAACAATATTCTGAACAGATGAAATAGTTTCAAACAACCTTGAGTGTTAACAGCCATTGTACCGCAACACAGGGAACAACTTTATTCTGACAGATACATTAGCAATTTCTTGCATGCACTACAGATTCATAAATGGGAACACTACATGTTGCACATGATACAAATGACAATCAGCACTACCCCATTTACCTCCCTGTCTGTGCAAATAAAAGCTGCCCCTCACCTCCGGTTTGAAAAACAAAAAAGTTAATAAATATTTAGTGAAGTGCTAAAACACAAACACAAACACACACACACACACACACACACACACACACACAAATTAAAAGGAACACTTTAAAAACACATTGGATCTCAATGAGGAAAAATACCATGCTGGGTTGATTGATATGGACTGGATAATGTGTTAGGAGCGCAAGGATGCCCCATCGTTTGATGGAAATGAAAATCATCAACCTACAGGAGGACAGAATTCAATGATAACCCAAAAATCAAAGTGAAAAAATTATCCATCAGACTAGTCCATTTTGCTAAACTTTCATTGCAGCAACTCAAAAAATTGTACTCAGTAGTTTGTATGGCCCCCACATGCTTGTATGCATGCCTGACAATGTCGGGGCATGCTCCTAATGAGACGACGGATGGTGTCCTGGGGTTTTTCCTCCTAGATCTGGACCAGGGTATTACAGCTCCTGAAAAGTCTGAGGTGCAACCTGGCGGTGTCGGATGGACCGAAACATGATATCCCAGAGGTGTTCTATTGGATTTAGGTCAGATGAGCGTGGGGGCCATTCAATGGTATCAATTCCATCATCCTCCAGGAACTGCCTGCATACTCTCGCCACATGAGGCAGGGCATTGTTGTGCACCAGGAGGAACCCAGGACCCACTGCACCAGCGTCAGGCCTGACAATGGGTCCAATGATTTCATCCCAATACCTAATGGCAGTAAAGGTGCCATTTTCTAGCTTGTAGAGGTCTGTGCGTCCCTCCATTGATATGCCTCCCCAGACCATCACTGACCCACCACCAAAATGGTCATGTTGAACGATGTCACAGGCAGCATAACTTTCTCCACACCTTTTCACATCTGGGCGCCAGTGGCGGACCTGCCAATTCTGGTGTTCAATGGCAAATGCCAATCGAGCTCTATGGTGGTGGGCACAGGGCCCACTAGAGGATGTCAGGCCCTCAGGCCACCCTCAAGAAGTCAGTTTGACCAGAGACATTCACACCAGTGGCCTGCTGGAGGTCATTTTGTAGGGCTCTGGCAGTGCTCATCCTGTTCCTCGTTGCATAAAGGACCAGATACCGGTCCAGCTGATTGGTTAAGGACACATACAGCCCTGTCCAGCTCTCCTAGAGTAACTGCCTGTCTCCTGCAATCTTTTCCATGCTCTTGAGACTGTGCTGGGAGACACAGCAAACCTAGCAATGGCATGTACTGATGTACCATCCTGGTGAATTTGAATGCCTGTGCAACCTCTGTAGGGTTCAGGTATCGCCTCATGCTACCAGTAGGGACACCGACCCTAGCCAAATGCAAAACTAATAGATAACAGTCAGAGAATTAGAGTAAGGTTAAAAAAAAAAAAAAAAAAAAAAAAAAAAAAAAAAGTCAGTGGCCTCCACCTGTAAAACCCTTCCTGTTTTGGAGGCTCATCTCATTGTTGCCCATCTAGTGCACCTGTTAATTCTAGTAACACCAAAAGCAGGTGAAACCGATAACAACCCCTCTGCTACTTTAACTGTTACTAAACCCAGGACCCTGCATTCACTATATCTGGTCTGAAAAAAGAAAAAAAAAAAAAAAAAAACCTGAACAATGCAGTGTTATAATTTTAAAAGTAAATATTAAAATAGATGTAGAATATAATCAATAAAACATCATTAAATAGTGATAAACAATATAAGTGAATGAAGCACTATGATGGGCGCAAAAGATTCTGTGAAACTGTGAAAAGTCTTAAAACCAAAAATTGTTCATAAAATAGTGAAGGCTTGACAAAATCAGGTCAGCATACAGTGCTCCAAATAAGTCCTAATGCACATGTGATATCCAATAAATCTGTGCGAAAGATTGTAAAAAATGCGCACTCACCAGATGTGCATGATTAAAATCCACACAATGTGCTGTACAAGAACCTGTAGGAAGCCCCATTCACATGGATCTGCTAGACAGCATGGAACCAGGATCCCTCCTCTGGACACAAGCCTCCTCTGCAGTCACGCTTCCACTGGGGTCCTGGGAATCATTAGTTCAAACTGGCAGCTTCGGTTCCCCGCTCTTACAGCTCCCACCCTCAGGAATGGCGAATGGAGATATATATATATATATATATATTTTTTTTTTTTTTTTTTAATTCCTATCACCCGATGCCTGGGACATGTAGTTCCGGGCAGGTAGTTCATTTTTACCTCCAGCCCTGTCACCTGTCAGGTGGAAGCATTTGGGCAGCAGTGCTGCCCAAATGCTTCCACACAGCATCTCCATAACACGTCCGCTCCCTTCCCCTTCTTGTCCTGACCCAGAAGTGATGTTATGATGTCAATTGAGACCGGGAAAGAATGTAATGCAGTGCGATGTGCATTACATTCAGGGGAGCAGAAGGGAGACATACAGGGTCTTTTAGACCTTGAATGTCTCAAAGAGAACATGTCACCCCCCAAATTTTTTTTTTTTTTCCAACTAGACAAAAAAGTTTTTTTTTTTTTTAATTGTACAAAAGAATTAAAGTTACTTTATTTTTTTACCAAATACAAGTAGAATACATTTTAACCTGTTTGAAGAAATTTGATTTTTTTTTTAATTTTATTAGATATATTTTTAAAATTTCTGTTCTAAAACCTGTTTCACATTTTTTGTTTATATAATAAAAAACCCAGTGGTGATCAAATACCACCAAAAGAAAGCTCTATTTCTGTGAAAAAAAAAAAAAACATTTTCATTTGAGTACAGCACTGCATGAGCACTCATTTTCCAGTTAAAGTACCGCAGTGCAGAAGAGCAAAAAAGGGCCTGGTTATGAAGCTGGTAAAATCGTATGGTTCCATTTATTTTATTTGGGTTGACAAGGAGGAGGTTTCATATGCAGGCATAAACAGACCCAACTGTGAAAAGGTGTGTTATTTACAATGTCCACCCGTTAAGGCGAGTTTTCAAATAAGGGTGGAAGTAGGTCACAGTCACAATAAAGGTGGAGGTACACGAAAGAGTTCCAAACATGTTTTACGAATTTCTTGAAGCATCTTTCTCCAATATCCACAATGTAAAAGACTGGCACAGACAGATTTTGTAAAGTGTCTCATGCCATCCTCCAAGGCGGAAGGGGGTTAGCTCGAAAACCACTGGGAAAAAAACACTGGTGAAAGCATAGTAGTAGCACAGTAGCATTTAGGCGCATTTGTTTTTATAGTACCATGTAGGGGGGAAAAAAAAAAAAAAAAAGGCTAGAAAAAAGCTGTTAGGAGCATTCAGCATTTTTTTCTGCTGGAAAAACACTTTCAAAAACGTTTTTTTCCTGCTATAAAACGCTGAAGCTTGCAAAACACTACTAGCCTAAAATAGAGTGCATGGACACATAGGATAACACTAAGTAGCCTCTAGGAGCACAAAAAAACATTTCGTTAACAGCTTCTAGGAGTGCATTGAGCCTAAAAGTGGTGAAGCATGAGCCAAATTCATGTATCTGTCTAGAAAGTGTACCTGCACCACCTTTAGAATGCACACGAGACACTTTAGCAAAATCTGCTAAAATCTGTTAAGTAGCTCAACTCTTATAAAATATGAACTCTTGGCATTTTATTTTGAATTTGGAGCATTCACTGTTCACAATGCAAAAGTGGAGCACAAGTCGCTGTCAGAACCAAAAGCATTGCAAATGTTAATGTGCAAATTTGGCAAAATACATTAGCAATAGGGATTAAATGCCAGAAAAGTGGTACAGCAGCTTTATTGACTTCCCCCCAATGTGTAAGAAGACATTGCGACACTTGGGATCATTAAGATTCTTATACTGCACAATTATTAGGAAAGTTGTATTTTTGAGGATTAAGTTCATTATTGAACAACTACAGTGTTCTTGGTCAAGCCAAAAAAGTTTAAAACCTGAAACTTGAATAAACTAAATGAAAATCTTCCCATTTCACTTGTTTATTTTCATCTGTTAAAGTGAGAACAAACAAACTCCTCAAATATTGAGTTCAAATAAAAAACATCTGGACATTTTTTTTTTTTTTCTTAAAAAAGTGACCAATATAGCCACCCCTCTTTTCAATAACAGACACAAGCCTTCTATTCATGGAGTCTGTCAGTTTCTTGATCTGTAGACAACCATCTTTTTGTGCAACAGCAATCACAGCCTCCCAGATACTTTTCAGAGAGGTGTACTGTTTTCCTTCACTGTAAATCTCCCATTTAAGAAGGGCTCACAAGTTCTCAATGGGTTTAGGTCAGGTGAGGAAGGGGGCCATGTCATTATTGTTTCATCTTTAAAGGCCTTTACTGGCTAGCCATGCAGAGAAGTACTTTG